TATTACGTGTATTATATTTGATATATATATATATATATACATATATATATATATCAATAATATTATTTTTATACAATTTTCCTGATTTTTGCTATTTCTCCCTGATACACCAAGAAAAAATCGTTCATGAATGTTCTTACAACACACTTGTCATATAGCAAAAACTGCCTCTCTTATGCTCCTTTACATATATAAATTGGTGAAAATGAAAATGACAATGGCAATGACATACTTGATGATCGTAATAGCGTTAGTACGAAAAAAAAAAAAAATAAAAATAAACGTCATAATGTGTAAATCAATATAATAGATATAAGATTTCAAAATAATAACATTTTTAATGTAAGTATTAACGATTAATTTAATTGCTAAGATGTACCCGCGTGTTTTGGATTGTAATCACTTGGTTTAACGACACAAACGTAAAACGCATTATTTAAAAGTTGATGATGTTATAATCATTATGTCTGTATCTATATAAAGTCAAATGATAATAGTCTTTCATATTTATAATATTTTCTTACAAGATAGTATTATAATACAAGCAATGCCGGCATAATCTCATTTTCAAGTGTTCTCTCTCTCTCTCTCTTTGCCATAACATGAAATCAATTTTCAATGTTATTTTATTGTTGTTGGATCAAACAAATTTCTTCTTTCGTGTGTGTACGATTTCGTTCTCATTGGTTTTATTCTTTTTTTCTTTCATTTCTATTTTTTAACAACAATTAACTACCGTTACTAATGTTTTACTTTTTTTTCTTTTAATAGCCTTTAAAAGACATCGAAAATCGTATGGAATGCAGCGACATTAAAAATATAAATTAATGTTGTTAATGCATTGTTATTATCTTATTACCTCGAAAGATTTACATAGAAAATATTTAAGACATTTTTGTTTTTTATTCGTGAGTGGTAATAAACTAACGTATTCTTAATAAATATAAAAAAATATCCCTTTTCTATTTTAGTTTCATTTCCTTATAAGAGAACACTTGTTATATCCAAACAACACATTTTCATTATTCAGCACGTCGTTTTAAAAATGTTTTAACTGCATTAACCGTCTCTCGCTTGTTTTTATCAGTTGTTTATATATAATATTATTATCCAGCCCCCTGTCATTCATTGAGTCGAAAAATCTTAATCCAATATGCCCTGTACATTGTTCCTGCGTACACGATGTTTTTTCTTCTTCATTTTCAGGAAAATCGAGTGTTTCGTGTTTTAAAGTGAGAGAGTAAAAAACGCAAACGTTTATTATATTTTTGATTAAACATCTTATTTCCTTGATATATATATATATAACGTGATTCCCCCACCTATTCTACAGATTTTAAATAAAAACTTTGCTTCCTTGATTTTCATTCTTTCTTATTTTTTCTTTTTTTCTTTTTTATTATTATTTATTTTTTTTTTTTTAATTTTTTTTTTGTTTGTTAATTATTTTTTTTTCTTTTCTTTTCTTTATATTAAGTCGAAAGGCCACCGTTCAAGGCCACAGGCCATGACAACGAATTATAAATTTAATTAACGAGAAATTTTTTTAGTTTCCATCGTTAATTTGTTTGTTCTTGTAATTTACAGAGACAGTTTTAAATAGCATATCCTCATTTGAACATCTTGTACATTGGAAAGTCTTTCTCTCGAGCATATTGATTCTAGACTTTATATCTGTAAATTGACACATCACTATCCTTACATTCATTCTTTCACACACTTTCAAACACACCTAATATGCATCGAATGACACGGAGCGTAAATTTCAAAACGCTTCTTCTTTTTGTTTTAACGTTAAATGCAAGGCAGCATAATAAGTCATTTTAAAATCGAGTTATGCGATAACTAATATTCAGGTAACATGATATATATTCATTTTCTATCCACATTTGTTTGTTTATAATTAATATTTATATACCAAGAATAGTTTTAAAAATAAATATAATTACAAAAGAAAAGGAGAGAAAAAAAAAGAAAAGGAAAGGAAAGAAAAGGAAAGAAAAGAAAAGAAAAGAAAAAAATAACTTATGTCCACATAAGTATCTTATATGTAAATGTTAATATTTTGCAGACGTTTTGCTTTACGCTCTGCTAACTTGAGCTTACCTTACCAACTAGTAAGGCTTCTTTTTATCATCATCATCATCATCATTATCATCCTCATCCTCATCATCATCATCATCATCATCATCATCATCATCATCATCATTATCATCCTCATCATGATCATCATCATTATCATCATTATCATCATCTTCTTCATAATCTTCTTCTTTTTCATCATCATCGTCCTCATTGTCATCATCAGTCACACGTAAAACAATTTTTTATAATTTATACGTTATGTTTATTGCCTTTCTATCATACGGTGTTCACGCTGTTAAACAGGATCTTACTTTTCGTCAGTGTGGCATTATGAATATTGTAACTTATTTTTTCCAACTTAGTCTATGCACACGCACTCACCGAAATTTCACGTAACTCGATGAAGGTTGCACTTAGGTATGTATTGATTCATATCTAAATGCCAACCTTTTGTCAAAGCACAGGGATAGTGTATAACAGATTTGCATCCTCGTATAACGCAACCAATGTTCGCGCCTGTTAAACCGCAAGAATCACAAACCGATTTTGCAGCATCCCACACAGCTTCTTGTAAACCAGTCACTCTTCCACCTACAACAATAAAAGTAACTTTTTAATATCACAGACATAAACCCTAACAATTATTGATGCATATTTTTTAACGTATGTATATTTACCAGCCAAGTAAACACCAGCAGCCCAAACAGCACACTGTTCATGAAGCCAAACTTCCCAACGTTGTTCCTCGCCAGGAATTACAGTCATTCCAGTAAACATTGCATTCGTATTACTTTCAACAGAATTCCTCTTCTTTTTACTCATTTTTGCAGAGAACTGATCAGCCAATCCAGCATACCTCAGACTTCTCTTATTCTTCCCACCCTTCTTCTGTTCTGTCGTTATTTCTTGCTCATCAGCCGAAAGAATGCCATCTTCTAAACGTTCTTTTCCAATTAAATACGGGCCAAATAAATCACTTAATACACCTGCTGGGACCTACAACAATAATAATAAATAATAAGAAGAAGAATAGGTGACTGTACTAATACTTATAATCAATTTATTTAATAAACGATAAATATCATACCGTGTACGTTCCAGGTGCGATATGAGGACCTGCCAAATTGGGATGAGGTCTAGATGGATCTCCTGGTATGACACTGTGTGGACCTTGTTTGCAAAATACACATACCCACGTAGAGTCGGTCGTATGTGCGTCATATCGGGACGACAATGTGGAACTAAACAAACCAGCTCTGCTAACTTTTCCTATAAATATAAGTAAATTAAAAATTAAAAGAAAATACAAATTTTTATATAAACTTTTCTTTTATTATTATTTAAGATTATTATATGTACCTCTATAATCTAAATCATTTTGATGACTCAGCCTTTTACTTCTACCGGCATTTCCATTACCAATAGTTTTCCTCTTTTCTTTATTTTTTTCTTCCTCCTCTTCTCTCGGTGCATTAACTACTTGAATACTCAAAGGACTATCTCTGGGTCCTTCGACATGAACCACTGGTCCACGAGACTTAATAGAACTCGCATTTGAACCCGAATCATATGCCATTTCCCGGTACCCTTCGTTCTTAGTATTTTTCTTGACTTTCTTCGAAAAGTCTTGTTTTTTCAAACTTTTAGACACACGTTTTTTTTTAGCATCCTTCTGAGGTGATTCACTAGCAATATTTCCAAATATATTCTCAGTAGATCTGGAGAATTTCCTTTTACCTCCTTGGACCTTTCCCTTCTTTCCCTTCTTTCCTGATAATTTGGTATCAACCGTAGAAGATACATCAGTAGGCTCTAAGTTCTGAGTATCTTTAGTTTGCAAAATATTATTTTCGATATTTTCAACCTTCGTAATATTTTCATTTTGAATACCAGAGACAGTAAAGTCTACTTTAGTTTCTTCCTTTTTAACAGCTGGCTTTGGTTCATCGATTCCAGCAAACATTTTCTCTAATTCTGATTCGACCTCATTGAAGGGATTTGTGTTGTTAACAGCCTTTGGACTCGTTACCTTTGAAAATTCAGTAGCATCATCGCTCGATTTTCTTCGCACCCTTTGATTCGCCGAAGTCGAATTCGTAGTCGAACTCTCGCTACTTCTCCGCCTTCTCACCGGTTGATTTTCCTCATTTCTTTCTTCAATATTATTATCGATTTCATGATCGTTTTCAATGTCGTTTTCGTTATCGTTTTCGTTATCGTTACCATGATCGTTCTCGTTCTCGTTCTCGTTTACATTTTCATTAATCTTATCATCTAACCTTTGATCCACGCTCTCAACTCGTTCTTCTACTTTAACAGTGGTTGCTGGAGTACAATTGGCAACTACTTCTTCTGATATCAATTCCCTTGTTCTTGGTTCCGTTGGTTCAGTTGGTTCAAGCTCCATATCTTCTACTTCCGTTTTTGAATCCTTACTAAGTCTTACTGGTTTCTCTAATTTTCTTTTTCTACGTTGTTTGGTATTATCATTAGAATCATCATTACTGAATGCAGGTGACACCACCTCATCTTCTCTAGTTGGAGATTTTGATTTTGGCCTTTCAGGAGACATGCTTTTAACGCTCGACGTATCTTTCTCTTCAACCGGCGTCACTATAACAGAACCTATATTTTCAGTACCACCAAGCTTCTTATTTCCACCTTCCAATTTTTCTAATAAAGAGTCCACACCCTTTTTACCCCTCTTTGGTAAGTTTTTGGGTGACCTAACACTTGTTTCTTCGTGTTTCTTGTCCCTTTCGGAAGACGATTCCCTTTTAGGACTATCTGTAACGTCCTTCTCTATTTTCGACGTAAGATTAACGATAACAGGTAAAACATTTCTTGGCACTTGTGCTATTACACTTAATGTGTCTTTACTTTTCGTTTCTGGTTCTTTCTTATCCGCAACAACACGTTCGATCGTAACACTAGGCGGCAAATTAATAACTTTTTGTGCGAAACTATCGACGACATTTATTTCTTTAATCTTATCGTGAATATTGGCAACGCCTTTCAAGTTGCTTTCAAAATTCTTAACCGTTATTTTTGGAGTCGTTATCTCTTTAGTCGACAATGACACTGGTTCACTGACAGAATTAGGTGTTGGTACAGACGAACTTATTCCACTGTCCGAAGATGTTTCTCCGTTTAGAGGTATCGGAGGAGAAATTATATTTCCGTTCCGACTACCTTTATCCACGTTTCGTGCCGTTAAACTAATTGGAATATCTTGAGGTATTCGAGAATAATTTTCAGGGATAATATCCGACGTTGCAGAAAGGTCAAGTGTATTTTGAGAACCTGGAGAGTTTCTATATTGATTTTGGTTTTGCCTGTTATCAACTAACATTTGTAAACTAAATAATGGATTGCCAGGAGTATTAGATGGCGTAACTGTTTTTGATGGAACTGTAGGCGTATGCCATGTTGGTGGTGCTTGAGTATGAGCAAGCTGTGGAGTCAACTGTGGCGTCAAATGAGATGCTCTGGATATAGACGGATGAGTATAAAAGCCAGCTGGATTTAAAGCAGTGCCAGGTGGTAATCCTGAAGCGTGAATATTTAAACCTGTAATATATAAACAAGACATCGTGAAATGTTCAATAGATTGATAATTCAATATAAAATATTACAGTTACCATAAAAAGTGTTACCTTGACCCTGCGTCATCGTGAGATGATTCCAAACTGTTTGAGGTGGAGGAGTGCCAACCGGTGGTCGGCTATGACCCGGATATTGTCCCGACATTGCACTTCCTTCCCAATTTCCCAGTATGATCTTAGAAGCGACTATCGCGGGATCTATACTCTCAGGCTTGTCTAACAACTCCTCTGTACTGTACTCTTCTTTAATATTATTGTGTCTGTCATTCAAGTTAGTTGCTCTTCCTCTTTTTTCATGTGAAAGCTTATACGTTCTTCCCTTGGAATATTTGTCTAAGAAGAGCTTACTTTCTTCTTTTAAATTTATATTCAAAGTGGATTTACTATTTAACTCAGTATCCGTAGATATGTTCTCTTGGACTACATTAAGTTGTGTTGTATCGTACTTTACGTTACATGATAAATTATTATAGTTCAAAATTTTCAATAAATCATCGTTCAATCCTTTGTACTTTGCTGCATAAGAATCGTTAGCGTTGTAGGAAAAATCAGTCTGCGTTATAACAGGATAATTCGACTGCACCGTTCTCTTATCACCAGCAGCAGGTAATTCTAAATAAGGATATCTCTCCTTTATTTTGGCGTCTTTATCACGATTATAAACACTGCTTGTGGCATTTACCGACAAATCAAGAGGTTTATTAACTTCTTTAACAGAATTTGATGAGAAATTATTAGAACTTTGATAAGATGCAGTCTCATTCACAGAAGTTGAGCACAATTTAGTATTTACGGTAGCTTGCGAATAATTGGATAAATAATTTAAATAATTGATGTTGGCGTTCCAAGCTAATTTTTGTGTCTCCGATAAACTTCTGTATTGATCCTGCCAAAAATTAAAATCAAGGTCAATCTTCTTCTTAACATTGACTAAATTATCTTTTTCTTTTTTCTTTTCCCCCTTCCAGGGGGTTCCTTGATTCCCTCCGTGGCCTTGAATAGTGTCTACAAAGGAATTTGATATTTTTAAATCAGCTGCCTTCGACACGTTTGACTTTTCTGAATCCAGCACTATGCTCTTAGATTTAGACTTTGGTAGATCTTTAAACCCTTTGATATGCTGTTCAGTCACGTCGTCTAATTTATTTTCTTTCTTGCAACTCAGGTTGCATTTATCTTGCACGTCAGAACGTGCTACGAGTGCTTGTTCATAAACCCATGGAAAGAAACTATAATACGCCCAATTTGGCGCAACTTGGGATATGTCGGGTCCTGTAAGCAAATATTTATTATTAAATTATACACTTAAAATAATCAAATATACAAACTAATAAAAATGACATATTTTTACCATCGTTGGTTAATTCAGAATTAACGCAATTGGTCAGACCATAATGTATGCTGGAAGTATTCGCAGATTGTTGTATTAACTCTTGTATGATTTTTCGATAATGTTGCTTTTCTTCTAAATTTCTTTTACTCGATGATGTTGATTTATCTTCAGTTAATTCAGAATTAACACGATTGGTCACACCACAAGATATACCAGAAGTATTAGCAGATCTTTGTATTATTTCCTCTATGATTTTCTGATGGTGTACTTCTTCCGAACGTTTTGTGTTCTGCAACGTTGATTTTTTTTTGGTTAATTCAGAATTAACGCAATTGGTTACACTATAATGTATCCTGGAAGTATTAGCAGATTGTTGCAATAACTCCTGTATGATTTTCTGATTATATTGCTCTTCCTTCAAACTTCTTTTACTTTGCGATGTTGATTTTTCTTCTGAGTTAGGATGCGTGTAAATACCCGTCGTTTCTGTAATAAAATCCAAATAATATCAAATATTTATAGAAAAAATGCTTACGATTACTTAGATCTAAGTTAAATACGATCAATTTAATCTAAAGAATTGTTCTCGTTTAAACTAACTACAAAAGAATTTTCTACGCTCAACACCACAATGTTTCTTCTACATAATAATAATTAAACATTCCAACACGATCTTTGAATGCAATATGCATTGTGAACCTAATCTCGCTATGATACTAAGGACGCATTGATTATTGGAAATATACGATTACTCTCAATTAACATACAACCAAATACTTCTAAAAGCATTAAATACATAGATGTGATGTTAAGAATATCATAGAATAGACAGAACATAGATTGATTGAACAATAAACTAAGTATGCCAACTAATTAGATCAAACATTTCTGTACTTTCTTACTTCCTTAACTTTTTACCACAACCTTAGGAAACTAAGAAACAGATGTGAAAAAGAAGAAGATTGTTGCTGGGCATGAAAAAACTAGGAAAGGATTTCTTAATGAAAAAACCGAAACAACAAGAAATGTAGCACGTGCGACGTGTAACATTTACGAACATCATTCGAATCGGTATAGTGGTATAGAATAGAAACACCCACATATGTATTTGATGATAATCTACAAAAGATGATACGAATCGTAGAAACAATGTACGTAAATGAACGGAAATTTGAATGAAGAAAAATCAAGGACTCATATGTAGAAATGAAACAAAATGTAGGAGTAAAGTACACGTTAATTCTTCATGGGGAAACGGAAAGAAGGAAGAAACGAAAGAAAGAAAGAGAAAAAAAGAGAAAGAAAGAAGGAAGGAAGGAAAAGAAAAATGAAAACGTACGGCACTGTGCGTCGAATGTTACTCTCTTTGCGAAAGAAGAACGACGCGTTTCTCGATCATTTTGTTTTTCTTTAAAAGCGTATTAGACGAGAAAATTCGGTAGGATTGATAATATCATTTATTTTCCTCTCTTTCTTTCTTTTAACAAATTTCGTAGGGACACGCTAAGGGGGTACATATGAACGTATGTACGTAAATGCGTGTGTGTATGTGCGCTAGCGAGGAATATGCGTACCACCGTAGATCGCAAAGCACACGCGGCGCATGTAGAAGTAGCAATGGTGAGGTAGTGTATAGTAATATTAGTGTGTTGTAACAGCAGCACAGCAGCAGCAGCAACAACAGCAGCATGTATACCGTACACGCTCGCTCTTTCTCTCTTTTTTCTCTCTCTCTCTCTTTTTTTGCATTCACACTCACTCTCTCTCTCTCTCTTTCTCTCTTACACTCTCTTCAACTCTCATATACACGCTAGAGAAGACACGTAGTATATACGTATGCGTGTCGTGTACGAAGGCGCGCGACGACACAAGTAAAACTTGGTGGTGGTGTGTGGTGGCGGTGGCGACAACGGTGCAAATGACGACGATTACGAGAATGACGAATAGAAGGAGGAAGACAAGGAGGAGGATGAGGAGGAGGAGAACGAGAACTACGACAACAACAACGACGACGATGACGACGACGACGAAGACACAGAAAAAATCTTTGAGAGAATTTCTCGAAAGAGATGTAAATGCAGATGAGAGAAACAGGACGACGCACTACTCACTCGCGCACTCACGCCCGATGCTGGAACGCGAAAACACACTGGCACGATTTTCCTCGACACCCTTAGCCTTTATTAGCTTCGTCCTCGTGCTCGTACCACTTAACGATAACTCCATGTAATTACAAACAGTAATGAACAGTAAGAACTGTTTTTCCCTTTGGCCGCGCTTAAAGCCCTCTTCTTGTCGATGGTTGCGCGTAGAAAGGCGGCAACGAGAACGACAGACAGAGACGGAGAGAGAAAGAAAGAGGAAAAGAGAGAGAGAGAGAGAAAGAGAAGGAGAGGAAAAAGAATAAGACAAAATGAGCCAGATAGACGAACAGCAGACAAGACAGGGAAGAGAGGAGAACCGCGTGTTCGAACACGCGGAGCAACGTGCGCTCTTTTAACGAAACAATGTTAACCACCTACGAGACGATAACAAATAATTCTTCAACACGTCTTTTTTCTTTGAGACGATGTTTGACCGATTGCTCGTTGTTGTCGTTGTCGTCGTTGTCGTCGTCGTCGTCGTCGTCATACTCGTACTCGTACTTTTCTTCTTATTATTATTCTTCGTAAATGATTCGCAGGGAGTATGAACGGATTGCATAGTGCAACGTTGTATAGTATGAGAGAGGAAGAAAAGCAAAAGAGAATAATACGAAGAATTAGATAGATAGATAGATAGATAAACAGATAGAAATATTGATAGACACAGAGGGGGATAGAAAGACAGAAAAAGAGAAAGAGAAAAGGAGAAATGTAGACACAGGAGTAATAAACAGAAGGTATACTATCGTACGGTTTTCCTTTTTACCGGCACGCGTACACGCGCCACGACGTTACACAGTGCATCGTGCACTACTTCGAGAGGGGGAAGAGAGATTCAAAGCCGCGGATAGAGGGAAGGGTAGTGTGTGGGCCGAGGGGAGAGCAAGGGGAGAAGGAGCGCGCAAGCACAACACACCAACACACCCCGACGAAACGTACGCGACACGGACATGGGTGCCTCTCTTTCTTTCGCGTAAATCGATGAGCGCACTCGATTTCACTAGCTTTTCTCGCCTTAGGACACGGATCCTCGAGAAAAATGAATATCGCCCCAGTTGGGAACTCCTTCGGGCACCAATCTCTCCTTCTCTCCCGTGATACGCACCTTACGCACGGGGCCCTTGCCGGGGGGCTGGCGAATTTACGATTTTCGGCCAAAAAATCGTAGGGGCATCAACCAAAGCAGAATTCAACAATGGTGGCCACCAGAGAGCAAACAGTACGCAACTTGTCGACACCTAGCGGCAACTAACCGAATCGTCCAAACTTCTCTTTCCCTCGCTTCCTTCATACTTTTTTTTTTTCTTTCTTTCCTCTCTCTCTCCCTTTTTTCTCTTCCCTTTTTTTTTTTTTCTTTTCTTTTATTTTGTATCCCTTTTCTTTTCATTTGCGATTATCATGCGAATCGGCAAATGCGCCTTTTCAAAAGTTGTATTTTTGTCCCTTTTTTTTCATGTATAGATATATATCATGTGTTTTCCAATAAGTTTTTCTTTTTAAATGCGAACGTTCATTTGTTTTCTTTCGGGACAAACTTTTTCATCAATTCGTAACTTCGGTTGCGACTGGCGATTTCAATTCCGACTATCTTTGATCCAATGGCGCGTATCATTTATTTTGTTCTTGCGAAACTTCAAACTTCGATCATCGCGATAGGACGAATCGTTTTCGTTCATTTTGAAACGTCTAACGAATTCCCGCGACTAAATTTCTATCGCTCATTTAAAATCAATTGAGTTTACGTTGAGTTTGTAATCGTTCCTTGCAATCGAAAAAATCGCCCTCCCGCATGCAGTCATTGAACTATACTAGATTTTTAAATCAACGAGAGTATACTCGTGCCAATCAACATTATTACGAATTCTTACTGATCCGACAGTGATATACATTATGTTACCAAAGTCCTACAATGATGATTGGTTATTTCTTGGTACACGCATTACGAAAATTTAGTCATGCGAACAAGACTTAACATTATATTTAATTTTTAATTTGCACATATTTTTTATATACGGATTTGGTAAATTATATTTAAAATATTAATTCTTTACAGATTTTTCAATCGATTATTTTAAATATATGCATAAGATAATCTAATTATCATCAGTGTAACTTGAATGAACAATTCTATATTTTTTTTCTCTCTCTCTCTCTTTTAATATTATTTAAATATTTAAAACATATTTACATTACGACAATATTTCTTTTATCATGTAAACAGTTACGGGTTAAACTAGTGGTTAACAAAGTTTTTTTATTTTCGGTGCCCTTGTTGAATCCAGGTTTTATCAAGGCGCTTTATATCAAATTCTAACAAGTCCACCTTGCAAAATAGTTAATAATTTTGTCTATTAAAGAATTTCAAACAATTGATATTAAGTGAGTTAATGGTTTCCACCAAGTCCGCTAGATTTCGCATCTTATCACATCTAATTGAAAATAGAAATAAAATTATGAAAATTTTGTAATAAGTATATTGCAGTCTCTCAATGCGCCGCGGCGAACATTTTGAGAACCACTGAGTTAAGGGTTAAATAATTTTTATAAATATTAAATTTGAAAAGTATAACACAATTTTATGTAATATTGATAAATTAGAATAAATTATAAATTCTATAATATCGCACGTTCTATTTCAATATCAAATTAGACTCGATGTTCTACATAAACGTGTGTATATATACGTACGAATATATTAAGTTCACAAACGATGCATTACTTTAAATATTTCTCTTCGATTAATAAATAATATTAAGCTACAAGCAACCAGTAGTAATTCCAATATACAAAATTCTACCTATTGAAATGCAAGAGGTAGGAAAGATGCCTCTTTTTCGAAAATTCTCGTAAAAGAAACAGTACTGAACTGTTTTGAAATGTAAACGAGTTATTTGTTTTTATACTCTTATATATTTAAATTAAAATTTACTTTTAGTATTATCTGTATACACATTTTCTTTTAGAAATAGGAAATATTTGTATTATTGTTAAAACAGAAACAAGAAAATAGGATTGTTTTTAACGGAGGGTTCGTATTAATTCAAACAAACACGCGCATTTGAATGAATCAAGTAAAATTCGTTTGATTTGATGAATGTCTATTTTGTATCTTAAAAATGATATTACATTTATTTAATTTCTTAATTTATGCATCTAAATATTTAATTAATTTATTTTATTTTTTGTTAAATGAAGCGACAATTTACCAAATCAAATTGCATTCGTGAACATGTCGAATTCTACGACAAGAACTCTTTAGAAAATATCGCTCACATTTGTATTTCTTTAAACGTGTAATGAATATATAATATATACAAAAAGTTCATTTGATTGTGTATTACGTATGCCCCTTCGAAATATATTTGTGTAGACGAAAAATAAAATGGCGTCAGTTCGCGTCGTCTGCTTGCTTTGACAGCTTACAATACGTTCGTGTTGTTCGTCTTTTTTGTTCATTCAAATCTTTCCTTAGAATTATTTGTCAATGATAAATAAAAACATATATCGTTTATTTATAATTTCATAGTATTTTTAAATTTGTTGAAAATAATTTCAAACATATTGTATACGTGAAGTAAAAGATATAAAAAAAAGCAAGGATACAGTTGTGTGTTCAGTAATAGAGTAGTAGCATTGTCGTCTGCTTGTTGATAAAAGCGCATGATCGGTGATCAGTCGAGTGTCGAATGACATGGCGTACGGGTGTGGATATCGAATAGTCGTCATGTCGCTCAACGTTTATTATCCGTGAATATATTCAATGAAAATGAACAGTAATAGATTAAAATTCGAATAACATGAATGCAAGGTTCGATGTTATCGTGATATATATTCTCGATGATGGAGGCAGAAGTTAGAGTCTGATATTGACGTTCTTCAAGTATTTTCTACTAAAATATCATAGGTTGCAAATTGTTATGAGTTCGGTATGCAAGACGAATGACGTGAATCTAATACACCAATGTGCAAGCGATTGTCAACCTGTGAATTTCGTAATAATATATCTACATACATATAAGGAAGGCTCTACATATAACTGAGTTCAATAAAGTCAATGTTTCATTCAAATTGTCACGTTATGCAAGTATAGATGATGCTATTTATTATACAACTTGAAATATCTAAGTCCATAAAGATGGTTCCTTAATAATTATATTAAAACACTATAAACAGGCTGTTTTGAAATATTCTATAAAAAAAAAGAAGTTGGTATAACCTATGAATGTTTAAGACCTAATAGTTGATATAATCTCTAGTCAAAAGCAGTCAGAAGATAAAGTTGTATATCGATGTTAAAAATGTGATCATTTTTTGGCATATTTGTTTCTAATCAATTTATTCTATGATATATAATAGTATTTCATGTAAATAGACAAGTTACTATTATACGATTGTATATCCAGTTTGTTTACGAGAAATATTACGATATATATTAACGAATATATATGCGATACAATAAAACCGAGTATCCATGGAATACTTGAAATAAAAGAAGGAGTATTATAAAGACGTAACTGAAGCCAAAAGAACTGAGTTTACAAATATATGGAAATTCCAAATGACTTAATAAATATCTAGACTGTTTTTAGAAAGCACCTTGCAGTAAATGGTATTAATAGATAAATCATTTTTCATTGGAAGCTTGGATTATTGACTATTTATATATGTGATGCTTCTACCAAAATATTATAAGATACCATTATTATATTAATGATGGATTAATAACTTATTAGTCACTGCATTAGATAATAATATTATGGAGCAGTGTAGAGGAAATGATACCCCTAGCATATCCAATGCAACTAAGGCAGATATATCACCTAAATCAAAACAAAAGAAAAAATCTCTATGTCAGATGCTTATGAATAAAAAGACTAGAGTTGGTTGTTTGGAAACGTCTTACAAGGATAGCGATTCCAACAAGAATTCTAAAGCCGATAACTCCCAGCACGAATCTCATACCAGCACAAAATTGTCTTTATGTTGTGCAATGACTGAACGCAGTAGAACTCCACCTCAAAGTTTAACCGCCAGTAGATTGTCTCCTACAACATTAAGCAGGACATCCGTAAAGTCTGAAGTAGCTTCCATTAATGGTAAATGTCTAACAGATGTATTAGTCGAAAAACAAGAAGTGTATTCGACGTATGGCGATCAGGAAGCTCAAGAGAATAATACAAGTAAAACAGTTATTATGCGAGAAAAGGAGCAGCGCAAGAGTACTTATACAGAAGGTAAGGTTTTAAATTAATATTTCTTTTATGGTAGAACAGATAGTTGTTTTATTTTTTTTAATTTATTTTTTATTTGTTTAAAAATTTTTATATTTATATATAATCTTTACTTAGATAAGAAAAATTATTTTGCTTAACAAATAATAGGATTGCATGAAATTGGTCAATATTTGATTAACACGTTATATTTAGGAATATATTTAGTATATATAATTTTTTATTAATATTAATTTTTAATTATTAACTATATGCTTTAAAAAATTGTTTATATATGTGATGGTGACAGTATATCTTTTCATACCGATTATGTCATATGATTAAATGAAAATACGTCCTTGTATATCCCCACCAAACTACTAATCCTAAGGTACTCCAAAGTGAGTAAAGATGTAGAGGTGTATCAGTGTGAAGTTTTATCATAGTATGGGAATAAAAGTGGTCGCTTGATATTCAATCTCGAAAACAGACAAATGTGATAAGTGTTGATAGGCTTGAGTGTTAGTAGTGTCGTTTTACAATGTCGTCAAATAAAAAAAAGAAGAATTCATTTCTCAATAAAATATCTAAAATATTTAGGAAGAAAAAAACTCATGTATTAGAAAGGCAGACAAGTCACTCTTCTGAAGGAATTGATAATGGACAAAAGTCAGATTTTCAAGAATCTATTAAATATCTTACACATTCTAATGAACAAATAAATATATCTGTAAAACCGGCCATTAATGTTCACGTAAAACATCATTTCCCAAGTGAACATATTGAAGATGAATGCAATAGTCAAACGAATACCAATCAAACTCATCATAAGACATCTTCTATGAGTTTATCTGGTGAAAGTAAAAATGACAATATTTTGGGAAAACAAGAAGGGGTTATGAATTTAGGCTCAGACAAATATTTAAATATAAAGACTGCCTTTCTGAAACAAGATAATAAATTAAGTGAACTTGATCAAACACAAATTGATACCGAAAAGAAAATTCAATCGATTGACAATACTTTAATTAAAATGACAGACTCCATTATTGAAAAAGTAATAAATAATCCGGAATTGAAAAATGGTAACGTTCACGAGTCGCACTCATTTTTAATAAAAGAACTTAAATCAACTAGCCAAGAGAGTAGTGAAGATAGTGACTTCTCTGCAGAGTCCACGGAAGATGAAATCGAGGAATCTTCAGATGATGAAAATATACAAATGATTTATGCAGAAAGGGATCACAAATATATAAAGGATGACTATTTCACTAAGGGGAAGTATATTACTTATTTCTTCCTGGAAATGGAAAGGCAATTCTACGATCCTTCAGATGTTTACAGTATGGTTAATTACCATGATTGTAACTGTTGTGAAAAACCAGAACGCAAAGGTATAAACTAACAATGAAATCTATGCGCTGCTTGAAATTTAATTATTGCGCTTTTTCTAGCAAATTTTCATTTTACTATTGCGAAGGTGCCAGATTCTTCCCAGTATTTAATATATATATATATATATATATACAATTGTCATGCTTATATGTCTTCTTTACCTGTTGCTGTATTAATAGAAAGTACATCGTCCCCTTCCTGACATACATATATGCAAGGTGTTCTGTAACTGATAATACAGTTACACTTATTTTTTTCCAAAACGAAGCCTTATATAAACAAATTTGATTCTACATTTTCTATTTAGTTTTTCGTGTAGAATCATCTTCTGGTTGCATATACTACCAGTTACAGGATATCATATGTGTGTGTGTGTGTATATAATTTAACATAAAGATTTTTTGTACAAATCAACCCTTTAAAACAAATAAAACTAAAATGTAGTCAAATTATGTAGTAAAGACATCAGAAAAAAGAATTTTAATATGAAATTTACAAAGATTTAAAAATATGTGCAAGTGTTAGATACGTAATAGAGAGTAATTTAACCAGTTTAGCTCTATTAGTGAAGAATTTTGTAATATCATTATTAGGTATATTTTTTCCGTATATGTGGATATCCTATGTAAACTCATACTTTAAATCGTACGTATAATATTTCAATGTTCCAGATGAAAATTCTTCTTCTGGATCAATGTCTCCGATCTCTATGCAGTTAAGACAAAGATTACTCCACAGAAGATCTGCTGATAATTTAGTAATTAATTCTCCGACAAATTCTATGCGACATTCTAGTCCGGAATCTGTGAAAAGTGTACCTATTCAACTTAAACCTCGCTCTACGTCACACGATGCCTTGTCAAAGAAAAAAGATCGTAAGCTGCCTACAGCAACTGGAGAATCCACGGATAGTTTGGCAAAACAGGCATTACTTGCCGCACAAGTATTAAATTTAATTCCTGCTCATAAAGCTAGAGAAAGGTACATGTAGTACAAACAAAACATTTTACTTGAATAAATATATATATATGTAAATTAATTACAAATTTAATTTTATAATTTATGGTATATTTATTGTATTTATTTTTCGTAGAAATTTCCTTCATGGAAGAATAGCGGCTAATTCATTGTTAGGTCCAGTGGAACTTGAAAAAGTATTGCCAAATCGCGAACTAAAAATTTTCGTTGGAACGTGGAATATGAATGGTCAATCTCCGCCAAAAGAATTAAATGATTTTATGTTACCTTCGGACATAGAAACTATTCCTGATATGTTAGCAATTGGAACTCAAGAATCGTGCTCTGAGAGAAATGAGTGGGAAGCTGCTTTGCAAGAAACATTAGGACCTTCCCACGTTTTATTAACTAGTACAGGTCTTGGAACGCTTCACTTGGCTCTTTTCTTGAGGAGAGATCTCATTTGGTTCTGCTCTGTACCCGAGGAAGATAGTTTTTCTACTAGAACCGGAACAGCATTTCGAACTAAAGGAGCTGTTGCCTTGGCTCTGATGTTATTTGGTACAAGTTTTCTTTTCGTTACGGCGCATTTAACAGCTCATCAGGATAAAGTTAAAGAAAGAATTAATGATATTAAAAGAATCATTAGAAATTTAGATCTTCCCAAAGACTTACCTACAAGACATAAAAGCAAAGGTACGTAATTATTTGATGATCATTTATCATTCTATTACTGTTTATTTATATAAAATTATATCCCCGAATTATTATATATTAGCGATTTCTTTTAGATGTTACTCAAAATTTCGATTGCATATTTTGGTGCGGAGATTTAAATTTTCGTTTAGCTCAACCGAGGGAGGAAGTAATTCAGTGGGTTACAGACACCTGTTTCCCGCAACAAGTACCAGTTAATTTACAAAAGGATCAATTAAAAACAATACTTAATGAAGGTGCAGTACTGCGTGGTTTTGAAGAAGCATTAATTATGTTTCCCCCAACTTACAAATATGATCCAGGCACACAAAACTTTGATTCGAGCAGTAAACAACGTACCCCCGCATACACGGATAGAATTCTTTTTAAGGGGAAAGGCCATACAAGGGGATATATTAGACGAGTTAGTCATGAAAGTACTAGTTCGCATAAAGACGGTGCTATAGAGTGCTTAATATATGATTCTGTTCCAAGTATTTGCACATCCGATCACAAGCCTGTATGGGGCGTATTTAAAACAACTATAAGGCCTGGCATTGATACGTTAGTGTTTTTAAATTATGATATATTATTTTTATGGTTATTATCTGCGAATGTGCATATAAGTGTATTTTCTTGTTTTTTCAGAATACCTCTTGCTGCTGGTTTATTTAATCGCGATGTATACATAGAAGGAATTAAAAGACGTGCAGCTGCAATGGATGAATCTCAAGGAACTTCTAAAGTGTGCTCGATTCAATAATTATGAATACTATTTATAAAATTGCCTAGCAATTTAATAATACTAACAAAAATTTTAAACTCATAAATCATGGATATATAAAAGAAAAACTTATATAGAAATTACCATGTCGCGCGCACACACACAAGCACACACGCATACACATGTACACACAGGTGATAATATAAAATTTCTTATACATTCTTTAGTTTTATATACAAAACTGTTTTGTATCGATATCGATCACATTTTAAAAAAAGAATTATTAACCAAGAATTGTTTATAGACTAATATATATGTAAATTACTATCTAGTAAAATGGCGCAAATGAGAATATTCTAGTCACACACAAAAATATTCTATAGCATGTTTTTTTATTAAAGTAATAATGTCGGATCTGTGAAATATCGACATAATATTTGGTGCTAATAATATGAACATTACAAAAAGTAGAACGGTATATAACGTGGCATTTTTGGCCATTCTTTGCCTAATTTTTATGTTACCGACAGAAAATAAAAGAAAGAAAACCTATTTTTAAATAATCGGTATATGGTTACAAGCAGTGTTCAAAGTTTTCTCTTATTATCCGTAACATGGATGCAAGTATTAAATTATTTCTTGAGATTATGCATCGTGAGGTATTATTAGATTATTTATAGTAATTTGAAATAAAGAACGGATTCATTCTCAATTGATTCATATAGTAATTAACATTGCGATTGAAAATGACATGGTACGTTTGTAAGTTGATAATAATTTTTTTCTCAAAATGTCTTATTGTTTTCTTTTTGTTGGCTCCTTTGTTTTTAACTTTGTTACCATCATTAAGAGCATTTTTTATTACATTGTTATTTCTATTATGGTAACAAATATATTGTATTATTTGATATAGCTTAATATACAGGGTCGATGATGTATTTCATTGGTATATAGAATTAATCGATAAGTTCCAAATGTCAAAGCGATATATAAAGACATATTCCAAACAATTTGTAATTCACACTTAAAAAATCCCAAAAAAGGACAAAAAAGAAAAGAAAAAAAAATAATCTGTATTTATTCTATGTTGTATTCTATGTTTGATTAAGTATTTGCATACATATATATATATATATAGCACAGAGTCTCTGGTAAGGATATAATACAAATCATATTAATCAAATTTTGTTATTATTTCCTGGAAGTAAGGAACAATCAAAATGATAACATAATAATATAAAATAATAGTTAACGCTTCCATGATATTGTTTTTATAATCTTTCCACATCTAGCTGTTCTTACTTCTAGGTATCGTTCTTTTCAAATTAATCTCACCGCATAATTAATACTTAACACGTTGACAGCCGAGCGAAATTTGTTGGTTTTCACACAACGCCGCAATTGTCCCTTACATAATTGTGTAAGTTCAAACTGATACAAAATAATAATGCGCTGAACAATGGCTGCCGGCGTGGTAGTCAATGTGTTAATATAATTTACAATCTATTATTGTAAAAGACGAATAGCATTATAAGTTATACAAAGTTGTATGCGCATGCTATATCAATAATATTTTACAGTATTTGGTAGAAAGACTGTGTTATACAAACTTTATGTTAAGAAAAAAAAAGTTGGTCTCTCGTTAACTTATTACAAGGATAAGGAACTTTTAAAACTATTCCAAAGATATTTAGTAAAGGAGGATGCCTTCATAGTAATTTCAAATTATAAAATAATAGGAAAATATGTGTATTTTCATTTATTATTTATTTTATTTGACAAATAATTATACATACATATATTTTTATTAGCTTAGATGCGATAATTAGTATCGTTTATAATTAGTTACGAGCACCCGCGTATAAATCTTGCTATTTATCTCGCTGTTATAAAAATGGTTATTCGATTGCAACTTAAATTTAGATCGATGTAGAATAATTGTCGCTTTTATGTTGTCGATAAACTAATAATATTGATGAAAAATATGGACCATAGTTAAAAGTCTCAGGGCTTGTAACCGTACCAAAATTTAATAAAGGTTAACAATTATACCCAAAATTATTTTAATCTTTATTAAAGCACATTCACAAATTATATTATGATTTTGATATAAAAATAACATTAACAAATTGATCATCATAGTGTCATTGAATGCATATATATGTATATATATACATATACATATACGCTTAATTTATTCATTCAAGTAAAATAATCAATAAACATCTGACAATAAAAATCTAGTTTCGTTAGATTTCATTTTTAACACACAAAATATATTACATTTATAACAAATTTTTAAAACTAAAACTATATAAATAAATAAATAAAAATATCAAGAAGTACAAATCTTGATATTACACTTTTGCGGCAAAAGTATTCAAAAAAAATGAATATGGAAAAGAAAAATCTGGACCAACAATAGATATAGTGTTTTTTGTTTGCGTCGAGTAAAAATAAAATACACTTTCCAAGCATTATAATAATGCGTTTAAACGTATAGAAGGTTTGTAAAAACCTGTTTGAAGATCGATATCATAAATGTTTACATAATTGATAGATAGGATAATATAATCTAAAAGTCATATGCATATATGTCATATATATATATACACATATGTCACTTATGAAGTGTAAATCGTGACAATGTAAATTTCTAATTACATAGAAAACGATTTTCTCGTTTGGCATGGTTACAAATCCTGCGATAAATTACTGAATAAATCACTCATATATTGATGGAATATTTTTTCAAGATCTCTTTTTTTTCCTACAATTTTTCTTTATTTTTTTCTTAATCAAGATAATAATTTTTTTATCAAGATTATCATTGCATCATTTAGTGTGCAGAATAATTCAATAAAAAAAAAAAGAAATAAAAAGGATATAGGCGTTTTTCTTCTTGAAGCAGATGTATGTACGTGTGTATAACGTATTTGTTGCCATTGTGAAGTGCCTAATTCATAATATTTTCTTTTTGTAGTTTTATACTCATTAATTTAAATGAAAAAGCAAAAGAAGGGAAAGTTTACTTAAGATGTAGATGAAATAATATAAAATAGTAGAATTTGCTAAAGTAGACATATTTATTTCTATTAATTTCATGCAGCTTGCCTTAACTATGCCTTATCTAAATATACTTGTAGTTATTTACATATTTACGTAAATTTGTTTGTATGTATCTATTTGCATCTGCGAAAAATCATATCTATTGTTAGTTTACATATTTTAGTGATTATCTTTTTTGGATTTAAATTATATATGTATGTTTGTATATATTTCTTTCAACGTCATTGGATTTCGATAAGCACACACCACACACATATATATATATTATTTTAGTGGCATTATATGATTATTAAGTAAGCATTTAATTTGGATCGTGTAATATAGAATCTTTCTAATTAGAAGAATAATCATTAAATTTTTTTCCAATTAATGCTACGAGTGAATGTTTATTATTCAAATATTGTTTAATGTCAATTAAAATGATCTTATTTTTACTGAAATAATTGTATGTTGATAAGATGGTGATTAAAAGGTATGAAATAAAAAATAAATAGATCCTTGATTAATTGTTTAAAATTTTTTAACAATAAATATTATACGCATAAATTATATTATTATCGTCATTTCATGTTAGTAAAACGATTATCGAGAATGAATTATTTGAATTTTGCGCCTTTTTATAATCAACTAATCAGAAATGAGAAGAGTTTAACAAGGGTGATGGTTAGGTTAGATTGAAACTTTTGAAAGTACCGAATGGGGCTTGTAGCAAATTTTTTATGCATTGAATATGTTATGTTGTGTAAATAGATTTACAGATAACTGAATAAACATAAATAAGAGAAAGAGAAAAATATAAAACACAAAGAAAAATAGACAAGTTGATGATAAAAGTGGGAGAACCAAACTCGCGTGGAATTCAATATTTATTTATTTGTTATTGATGTAAAGTTTCGTTGACAGTTGTACACAAGTAGCTGATAGTAGCGACGAAAAATCGTCGCGATCCTTCATTTTTCGTTGTCAATATTTTATCATAAGATACGTAGACACGTGATATGGATTTTTTACCGTATGTATGCACACTTCATATTTATCTAATTTAATTTTACAGTATTTATATCTACATTAAACATTTAATTACAATACATAATCTAACCTCAATTTTAATCTGTATGCGCGGGAAAAATTTAGTGTTTGGATATTTCAATTATTTTCAATTTAATGTAGTTGTTTAATTTAAATTTATTGTAGAAGTTTAAAAGATTTGTAATATGTACTTTCTTTCATTTAGTTATTATAGTTTAAATAACAATTTCATAGTAAAAAATAACAATTTCATGCTTGGTCTATCATATCAATGATTTATTTTTTTTTGTTATGTTATCTTCGAATATTTTTTAATGTCTATTAATATAGAGCGACTTCGTCCTTGTTCTGGAAGAAAGTAAGATTAGAATCATTTAAGGATTGGCCATTTCAATCTTCCAAAGATGTTTGTAGTCCGGAACGCATGGCTTCTGCTGGATTTTTTTCTAAAGCGAATAAGGAGGAACCAGATTTAGTTGAATGTTTTATTTGTTCCAAGCAGCTCGATGGTTGGGAATCCTCTGATGATCCATGGTTTGTATTACATTGGTATACATTCTCTCATTAATATTATGTTTATTGATGCGATGAATTTTAGGAAAGAACATGAAAAACATCAAGCATCTTGCGCATTTGTAAAACTACAGAAACAAGATGAATGCCTTTGGACCGTTCAAGAATTGTTTGAATTAATAAGAGTGTATAATTTAAAGGAATGTGTAAGTTTAATACATTTTTGAGTTGTGCTGTAAAATATGAACGAAGTGTTGTAAAACTGTAAATAGGAACATAATGCGATAAGTGTTTCTCATAAATGCACATACATAAACTCTTTTATTTTTTTAAAAGGAATGTACAATGAATTTAAAAAGATTTTAAAACGTTATTACATTAAGATTTGTTTCATTCTTTTCAGGAGAAAGAATTAGAAAACGAAAAAATTAAATTAAAGAAGGAAGCAGCTAAGCTCGCAGAAGAGATACCATTATTGTTTAAAAGTTTGAGAAAGAATAAGAGAGGAGGAAATTAATTTAATTTAAGTTGATTAAGTATAAGGTATTTTTAAATGCAATTTTTAGGAGATATGTTATTTTTTTTTGTAATAAAATTTAATATATAAATATACTCACACATATATTTTCTATTTCTTTTATACTAATAGCATATTTGCAGCAAATTGATATATCTTCTTTTTTCTTAATTAAGAAAACAGTGAGATTCAACGTGGTCTGATTTTTATATGTAAACCTGTGGATTAAACTAACGTTAATAAGTTATATTTTTTTACAGAATCAGTCGTATTTTGACCGTAAAAGTTTACGTAAGGTATCAAAGAAAAGAAAAAAAAATATTTTAATTTGTATATTTTTTAGCTGATATGTATTAGCTTTTAATAGATATAGTTATATACTTGTGATATAATTCGAAACGAAAGATTATCTTAAACTTTAATCTTTCGAGTAGTTGTTTGTTACATTATAAATCTTGTCTTTGTTTCCGGTTACATTTTTAGCTACCTGAAACAAATGTAACATTATTTTATAAATTTGTGAGATAGAAAGTTTGCGGTAATCATAAAATAAACATATAAATCTTCCTATGTGTATACAAAAATTTATATTTTTCTTAACATATGCCAAATATATTTCATTATTTTTATCTCAAACGAATGTTACATTATTTTATAAATCAAATAAAAATCCAATTATTGAAAAAGAAAGAGAAAAAAAGAACTTATAGTTATCACAAAATAAACACATATGTTTTTCCATGTATTTATAGAAATTTATATTCGATGGGACATTAAAAAACACAAGTGAAACTTATCTTGCTTTAGGGTATGCATCGCTAACGATGAAGCCGGTCAACGAACGTTTTTCCTAGAAAGCACGATGTGTACATTCATGCACCTTGACTGAGAGACCACACGATCCTTTCTCGGGTTATTCCTTCGTTTCTTAGCCAATTCGTGTCGCGAATGAAGCATTCGCTTTGATGTATCTTTAAGGAAAGTTCCTCCTTTTATTTTCTATTCTATCCTTCGGTAAATGTGTGATGAGCATAATATTATTCGATCAAATAAAATTTGCTTTTGTCAGTACTTGATTAATAATATTTTTACATTTATATTTATTTAATCACAATATATATTATTTTTATAATTACCTAATATTATATAATATAATAATAATTATAATAATTTGTCAAAATATTATATTTTATTATAAATATTAACCAATTATTCAAAATACACGAAACCGATAGATAGCAATCGTATTTGTATTAAAATGATCAATTTTCTCAGACGTGTTAAATTGTTAGATATCTATAATTATATTTTTGTATTCGAATCATTCAATTTTCGAGCTATTACGCACTAATAAATTCACGATAAGATTATATAAAATTCTAATATACTGAAGAAACATTAGAATATGTTTAAATTGTCATATAACGAGTATGAAATTTGTCAGATGTGTGTTTCGTTAAAATTAATCTATTCCATTTGTCCTTGTAGAAACTTACACACACATACAAACATCCGTTGATTCATACTTAAATACTTTCTACGTGGTAAGAAAATGATACGCGTAGAAAATAATAATGCTTCTTGAATTTAGATTCTAAAGATCCCAAAGTCAACACTATAAACAACTTCCGTACTTCGGGTAATTCATATAAAATAGTGTTGAATGGATGTCAAGGATTGAATGGTTCATTGTACGCGTGGAATTAAGATTTATATTGCATCATTTTTACAAGTTCATTTAGGTCGATCAGTTTTGGCAAAGCATTGGCCTTATGGACCAGGAATATCAAAGCGAACGAATGGTTGAACTTTAGAAATTGAAGGCGAATTGAATTCTTAGTGCAAATCCTTGTCCTCGATTTGTAGAGTTACAGAGTTACCTACATATATATATGTTTAAAGTTTAGTGTCCTTGTCAATTAGTTGCTTTCTCTCAATTTCTTTTCCTTTTTATCAGCATTTATGTATATATATATATATACAATGACATGAATAATGAGATACCTTTAGCTAGAGATACAACAGCTCATCTCTTAAGAGGTAAACATACGATGACTCTCTGATGAAAGGATTGAACGATTCACCATTTGCGTTTCTTCTATATAAGTACGTATGATGTATGGATATGTTTCATAGTAAACGAGAGTATAAAGTATCTCTGTGTGTACTACATACAATATATCTCTGCACGGTTTAATATAAATATGTGTGTAAATACGAGGTAGGATTTAAGTAATCGCGATGAATGCGCAAAAACAAGTGCGTTACATATATGTGCGCAGTTAATACCACTCGATTAAAAATCTTATTGTCAAAGAAAAAGTGATAATTAAGACGTATACTTAAAATATTAAAACGTTAAACTGTCTATTAATTAAAGAAACAACCGTATCTACGAATTTGTAAAGAGAAGGAACGATGTATATTTCGAAGAGAATATGGTCGATTATTCGAGAGACTTTTTAGCCTCGTCCTATGTTTATCGAGATAAAAACGATAAAATGATTGGTTGGACGTTACAGAGAGATAATAATGAAAGGCAAAAGAGTATTCGACACGACACATTCTTCAAAGAGATATTCATTCGAGCGTTTTGTAAACGTTGTTAAAATTATTTTTTCACACATACACAAAAGATTCCATTAGGATGAGATTTATACTCTGTTTTTAATCTTACTCTTTGCCAATGCAATTCAAATCTTTAAATAGAACTAGATTGTTCTCCATATTTTATCTATCTTCTTATTTGTCTTCTATTTTTAATAAGTATAACAGAATTATTGTAATATTAAACAACATATTGTAACGTTTAAATCTTTGAAACATGGAATTGAAGAAAATCAAAACTTCTTATTGTTAGTTGTAAAGAAATTTGTTTTTTGTAAAATTTAACAAAGTAGGTTTGTTTTAATTATCAGAAAATTTCATTAGATGAAATTAATTGAAAATAAATTATTGAAGTATTTTATAATGTAGACACAAAGCAGTTAAGGATAGATTTTGTATATTTTTATATTTTCCATTTCTTTCTCATTCCAAATAATTATAATACAATTATTTTGTTGTATCATCATTTAATATGTTTACCAATAATGAATATAAACCAATTTCGAAGTATATTTATTCATGGTTCACGTTTGATTTAATTGACGTAAACATAAAATGACAGGGGTAGATTCAGGATGTTTTCTTCTCTTTCTCGTTTTGAATAATAATATTACAATAATTATGATATATTATCATTCAATGCAATTAGCAATCGTCGAGTTATAAATATTTATGTAAATTTTGTTCAAAGTATTTTCTTTTATGGTTCACGTTTGATTTCACTGATGTAGATACAGAGTCGTAATATTTGTTTTTATGTTATTCTAGGTATTACAAACGACTGGTACCACCACCACCACTTTGCAATCAGGAAAAATGTCAAGAAAATTGTGCCATGTTGCAAATAAAGTTCCTTGGAAATAGGATTTCGAAAGTATCCTCGGGAACGTCTTAGAACCTTTCGATTTAGAGTCTAATCTCCAGAAACAGGGAAAACATGGAAGGAAAAACTTAAATTTATTAGGTACATATTTTTCAAATATTTTTTCATCAATATTATGGAAAATAAATGAAATTCAAGTAAATAATATTGATTAAAGAAATGCTGATAAAAATCCTGACCCAGTAAATAATATACTAAAAGAAAACCTTTTTCAAGTGGAGAGGGAAAGATAAAAGCTTTAAACACTAAAGAAAAGAGGGGGGTGGGAAAAGAAAAATATAAATTTTTTGTTGGGGGGGAAAAACATTGAAATATTTACGTTTGAAGATAATGCTTTACTGTCATTGATAATCTATAATAATTGAAGATAAGACGACACTCTGGAATGAAGATTTCAATGATGGTGACTTATCTAGAAAATAGTCTCGTCGAATTAATAATATTTTCTTGCAAATATATACAAAAAAAAAAAATTAAACGAAAACATTTTTAAACATATTTTAAAATTTGTTTATCCATTTGTTTTAAAATCAGAAATAGAAATCAGTTTCGATGTCACGTGAATTGTTTTTTATTTCAATAATCAATTGGTTAATCCAACTTCTAATCGAAATTTTCAAATAATTATGTTTGATGTAACAGGTGTATCCAATTGTAAGAAATCAATGTAATAGCAGGGTCAAGAAAAAATATTGGAAGGACATTAAAAAAGCAGCATATTTCAAAGTTTTTAATTACGAGCCGTTTGTGCAATCACCTGGAACGATTTCGTTTAAGTTCTTTTCAAAATAAAAAGAAGAGTTTTGTGTTTGTCTCTGTTTTTTCTCTCTCTCTCTCTCCCACACCTACATATACACGCTACTTCTGTAAAAGTAATGAAAAGTAATCATTCGCAATGTTTGAAATTGTGCACGTTATACGTGTTGCTTTAATTTGCAAAATACAATATTTTCATGTACAGGGTGTTCTAAAAGCCGTTTAAGGGAATTGAAAAATGATAAATTTGTTTTGCAAATTACTTGAAGTGGTGTTGTATGTTAGGTCTATATTTTTTAAAAAGAAAAGAATAATCGAAGATTTTTATTTTAAAATGAAAAACAAAATATTGCAATTTTATTATTTAATTAATATTGATTTTTTAATTTTTTTTGAAATATCCCATATATATTTATATATTGTATATATATTGAAAAGCGGAAAAAAAGGAAAAAAGAGCGACCTTGTACAAATATTATCTCACTCGTATAAGATCTAAATACATAAATCAATCAAGCGTAAACCTTGCAATCTTTTTTTGTCATTTAGATGATTTTTCAATATTTGGATTTTCAAAAGAATATATTTTTCAAATAAACAAAATCATTATAAAGTAAACGATGAGAATAATTTATATAAGTGCTTATTAACGGAAGTAAAAGCGAGGTAAAGGGAGAAAAAGAGAGAAAAAAAGAGAGAGATATACACTTGTTGTTATCGTTGTGAATCAATTGTATATTCCCCTTTTTATTTTCTAATCGAAAGTTGCTTCTTGTTTTTACTTTATCGATACTAAATTGCTTGAAACATATCATTTTATTTTTTTTTTTTTTTCAGTTCTTCAATTTTTGTTTCTTTCGAAATGATTTCATTTTTCATATATTTTTAATTAAGCAAATTTTCTTCATGCATACACATGCATATGCATTTATATTTGTCAAATAGAATTATATTAGATCAAACATAGTAATATATGTGTTGGGGGGTATGTGTATTGTATTATATATACAATACTATACCGGTTCACCTAGATCGATCAAATCTTTTTATCAATCATTTATTTTATAGGTAGAACTCGTTACTTTGATATTTCACAAGATGTCGATATAATTGCATTGTAGATATTGATGTAATTCAGAACAAGAGTAACAGAAACGAAAAAGAAAATAAATATGATAACGTTGAAGAGTTTCAAATAGTATAATTAATTGTAAGTAATATAAAAAGTATAGATATCGATATTGTCCACTTAATTTTTTTTAACCGATAGTGACTAAGTTTACTTTTATACGTTTAATTAAAAATAACGAATAATAATCTCATCGTTCGAGGATTAACAAGAGTCTATATATATATTACATAATTTTTATAAATATATATTAATCGAGAATGGTTTCTTTGCTCGATCATCTCTAATTTTAAATAGAGATGTGGCATGAGCGAATAAAAGAGAAAATTTTCCTGAGTTGAAAAATTTGTCTCTATACATTTTTCCTTTTTAATTCTTTATTTCTTTTTCCCTGGTTCTCTAAATACATACATACACACATATATATATATATATATGCACAAATATCTTCAACTATGTTTTTATGTGTACATGCAAAAACCTTATACGCGACTAAAACGATCTTTCCCGAGTGATTGACTTTCCAAAATTTTTATTCAACAATGCTTACATTTGTTTTTATTTATTTATGTATGTCGTGTTAATTAAATTACTTGTTACTGGTAAACTTGTCAGGAAAATTAATATGGGATTGAAAAGAAAATCTTTTATTGTTTTCTCGAGAACGTGAAAGAAAATTAAAACAAAAAAAAAAGAAGAAATATGAAAGAATATGAATTCTGTGACAGCTGAATATTTGGATAATAACTAAACGAATTATTAAAAGAAACTTTTCAACAAGACAAATATTGTCTCTTTTGTAGATAGTAAAAATATATTATTAACGTCATTTATTTTCGAATCGATTGACATTTTCAAGATTATTTCGAGTTAAACTTCAATTCTTTTTTGAAAAGAAAAAAAAAACCAACAATAAGTAAAACAAACGAATTTAATTTCGAAGTATTATTTTTCTCMCCCCCCCCCCCCACACGCGTGTTCTTCTTTCATATTAATATTATAAAATAACAATTTAAATGTTGTCTATATTATAATCGTCCATTTTGTTTTTTACGCAATATGAATTGGATTGAGAGGTTTCTTAATCCTTTGGAGAATTAATTTCTTCATCCTTTTTGTGATTGGTTAACGATGATTTTAAGTTGTGGTCGTCGAATCGGTTGTCAGTGTTTCACCGAGAATTCGAATAAAACGTTTAGATATTAGAAGTGGTGTGAGGATAGAGAGAAAATATATATATATATATATTTGTCTTATCGCCGGTTTGTTCTCCTCTCTCTTTCTTGGTTTAACCGCGCTTAATGGCTCCCATTTATAAAGCGAATTTGCGCTGGATACCGATTCAGTCGATTGAAAGGCGCGTACGACGAGGTCCGATCGACTCTAATCGGACGAGTAACGAGCCACCACCTGTTTTTAGATTTTTTTTCTTCACGAGTTTTCTTTCCTTTTTTTTTCTTCTCTCTCTCTGTCTCTTTCTCTTTCTGTTTTCCTCATTTAATCCTTTTTTTCTGACGTTTTTATTGAAAAAAGGGGGAAGTGGAATCGATTAATTCGTGTCGTGAAGAAACAACAGGGTGGTTGGTGCTCACCGTAAACATATATATACATACATATATAAATATATATATATATATATATTTATATATATGTAAATAGATTGACTTTGAAAACATAGCAGAAAAAGTAAGAACGAATAAAAAGGAAAAATCGGTCATTGTAGTGGGACTCGAATCTGGAACGATATCAAGATGCTGTCTGCTTGGAAAGTGTGCTGTAAGTTTAATGTATAAAGAAGCTTACCAACATGTATGTATATGTATACCCATACATCATATGTATACTTTGACGTTTTCAAATCTTTCGTGAAAAACTGGACATGCTTCGTCGACGTTGTTTCCTTTCGACATTGTCGCAAACCTTTGACTGGTCAACATAAGATTTTAATGTTTGTTCGTTGAGATTCGTTTTAATATGTACAATATACAGATTGTTATTGTTTTATTTCATTTGGTTTTTTTTTTTTTTCTTTCATAACTGTTACTTAACTATGTTAATTTCAAAATCTTTACGATCGATCGATTAATTCTCACGTTTCATGCGTTTAGCTTGGAATTTATTTCTTTTTTGTTTTATTTTTTTTTACTCATTTACTTTTTGTTTGTTTTTATTATATAATTTTTCACGAGATATTGAAATATAATAGATTAAAAATGATAAACACGATTAACCTAAGCCAGTTTCTTTTTTTTTTTTTCGATAGGATAAAAAATTCAAAAAAAAAAAAGAAAAGAAAAAAGAACGATATGAATCGGTAGCATTCGTCATTGATAAAAAAACATGATACTCTTGTCTATCCTTATCGGTAGCACTTGGGGTTGATCTAATACAATATCATAGTGTTTCGAGAATTCCTTAGTCCAAAGATCTTATGTTAGGTGTTGTGTTATAGGACAAGAGATAAGAAATTAATTTTTGTTCTTCGCGGTAGGATTAAGAAATAAACGGATTTTTCTTAATTAATCGTTGTTAAACTTTGTCATATTTCATTCTCGGTAATTATCGTGCTTATTTTATTTCATTGTTTTTATCATTTGTATATAGAATTAAATTAATAAATATTTTCTTTTTTCTTTTCGCGTTATACACGGGGGAAGAAACATCGATATCGATTAGAAACGATTTATATTAATTGTATCACAATTATTTAAGACAAATTATTTCTCACGTACTCAATCAACACATTATAAAGTTAAACAAATAAATAATCATTATTAAAATAAGGAAAATATAAGAGATGGTTCAAATTAATAATAATTCATAAAGGATAAATGAAAAATTAGACAGCAGGATAAACTTAAAACCGGAAAGGAAAACAAACAAAATTCATTTAGGAAAGATTGAAATTGTTTCCTCGTAAAACTTGACGATTCCTTGTCGTCAGATGAAAGAGACTAATTATTATAATTTTAAAATACACAAGTAGGTTTGCATAAAAGGAAAAGAAGGAGTAAAAAAATCAAAACAAAAAAGTCGTGACGTCATATGAAAGTGAAATTGTACGATATATGTAAAGACATAAGTAAGTAGTAGTAAATACACACATACACATACACATAGAAGATTGTATGTGTAGAAACTCACGACTCCTTTGGAATTTTGTGAACGTCCAACGAACGTACGTACGTACGTACAAACGAACGAACGAACGTGCCTTCTAGCTTTGAAATCTCGCGAAATGTTTTACGTAAACGATCAATCGATCAACTCGATTAGTCTGTTCGATAATAATGCACGAAGGTGCAGCTTCCTATAATCGTGAAAGATCATTTAAACTGGAGGAACAATGATCAAGTCAAATCACGTTTCTATGTAATTGGGTTTAGTTGAATGTAAGAATGATAATTGTGTATCAATATATGTATGTGAGAATATAAGAATAAACATAAATCTATGGAAGACACGGTGTATCTGTGTTATTCAAAAAATGTCTACTTTTGTAATTTAGTAAATGCATATATTACATTCAATCGAAACGATTACTATGATATCATTATTTCTCTCTTTTTATTTCTTCTTTTTTTTTCTTTTTTTTTTTATGTAATTGCATCGATAGCCTCATTCCATTAGTTTAGTTTTTAATTACCATTTAATTCGATCGTTAAATTCTTCTATTGGTTGTATAATAGGTCTCTTCTTTTTTTGGATTTAGAAGCGTGGAAAAATTGAATGAAAATTTGGAGAACCTTGATCTCATTCTTATCTTGTTCGTGTTAATTATTGTTTCTTATTCTTTTTTTTCTTTTTTTTTCTTTTCTTTATCTTGACTCGGTCTGCTTTTTATAAAGGGGTTCATTACTTGCTTTTATAATATCTATTTAATACGATCGTTTTAATTTCTTACTTATGATAATATTATACCTCTTCTCGTCTCTATTAGGATGTGGAAAAATTTGATAACATTTGTCAACTTTGGTGTCATCTTTTTTGTTTTTCATTCACAATTTATACATTGTTCTTGTAATTGTCTTTTTTAAGAAAAGTGGAAAAATTTGATAAAACGTGTTGCAACTTCTATTAAATTCCTTTTTCAAAATTGTAATCATATAAATGATTTATATATTGATTTGATTTATTTTTCAAAAAAGATTAACACGATATTCTATTTAATCTATTTTCCTCTTTCTCTATTTTTGTTTCTTGCTCGTTTGCTATAGTAATCGGTTATTAAAAAGACGGAAATCGTTGTCCACTGTGATAGAAAATAACAGGAATTAAGTATCTTGCGCGCTCGAATGATTCGCTCTCCACTAGTTATCTATTTCTCTATTTCTCTTTCTATTTCTCTATTTTGTATCCTTTCTTTTCCTCCCCTTTTTTTTTTGCATAGAATTTGTATACAAACAACTGTTACGTAGTTATTTCGATTCCTCATCTGTATATTTTGGAATTCCCTTTTTCACGCGAGATAAGATAAAACGATCGTTAATATTTATATCTATCTATCAATCTTTTTGAGAACTGTATATATATATATATATATATTTTTTTTTTATATATACAAAATTAAAAGACAAAAGAAGAAAATATGAATATAAGAATAAAAGCAAAATAAAAAAGAAACAAATAAATAAGAATAATACAAATAGTACAAACATATGTACATACACATACGATCTTATCGCACATAAATATTATAATAACTTATGAGACATTATTTTTATCTCATCTATCATGTATTGTAAATCAAAAGAGATAACAAATATGCAATATGTATATAGAACTTTGAAAGAATTTTGATTAGATGTCGAATCGACAAATGAAGAGAAATCGATCGATCTTTTTGTTCGATCAAAAGATCGCAATCGACAATTGAAAGATATTAAAACGGGGATGATCGAGGTGATCGATCGAGTCAAGAGATTAAGAAAAAAAAAATGAAAAAAAAAAAGAGAAGGTAAGGAGATTTTGTTTAATTAAAACTATAGCCGTCAATATTATTACTTAAATTTTAATTGCGTGTATAAAAATGGTAGTGAAAAAATCACTTATATTTTCTATAATTAATTTTATTTTCATATTGTTATAAATATTATTGTATATACGAGTTATACCACGTAGATGTTTATTATCGTTCGGTATTAGAACGAATGAAACGCTATCACAATCTGCATATCTTTCTGAAATATTCGCGTAATTGGTCATAATTAAATAAATCACAATCAACCAAGCGAACGTGATTTTATGCGAATTCATAGTAAATATGATTAAAATATACGAAGAATAAGGAAGATGAAAAAAAGAATAATAATGAAAAAAAAAAAAGAGAAACATGATAAGAACAAAAATTGTACAATAACGAGAAGGAGAATCAAAGAGTGACGTATCAACTCGTTGAGTATCTTTTTTTAATTAAAACTTGAGAATGACAGAGAGATAAGGATAGAAAGAAAAAGAAAGAGAGAGAGAAAGATAAATGTAAATCGTAATTATGACAGTGGACTAATCGTAAATCAAAAAATTAGAAACATTCATTTTTATGATTTATTTCATATTCAAATTACTTATATTACAAAATTAATCACGAAATATATAAATTTGTTAAATTTATTGATTTATTGTTAATCCACTGTCATAATTACCAGTACAAATAAGTGCCAAAAAAGAAAAATAATTAAAATAAGAATAGAAGAATGGCGTATCATTGTCTTGAGTATATTTTTTTAATTATTACAATTAAAAAGAGACAGAACAAAAGAGGGGTAGAATTCCAACAAACATAATGAAAATAAAAATGGTGAGGTTCCATGTAATTCTAATTAATAATAAAAAAATACAGAAAGAGAGAGAGAGAGAAGAAATATGTCATTGGAATGAACGGGAATCGACATGCCGATTAATGGAATATGGAAAATGCTCTAGAAACCTTCCTCCTCTCGTTTCTTCTTCCACTTCCTAATCGAGTAGAACTTTCAAAAGTGGATCGTAGAAAATAAGCGATTTCTAAGAGTAACCTATAATGCCAAGACGACCATTTCCTCAAGTAAATGTAAAAAAATACTCGTTCAAAAAATAAAAAAAAAAAAAAAAAAAAAAAGAGATCTACAATATAACGACTACAACGACTTTGACCATTTTCTTGCCAATTTTTACAACTTTACAATTCGTTCCGTTCTACATATGTAAATACTGAATTATCTACTACGCATGTAAATACTTTACTACATTTATATACCTGCACACACACACACACATAAAAATTATACATAAACGTATGTACATAGGCATTTAAATTTTATACACGCGAATTCATTTACTTTTATATACATTTCTAATTATGTCTAACGTACATATCTATGAATATAAATTTTACACACACGAATAGATTTACTTTTAGACACGTGTTACATTATACATAAGGACACAAGTGTGTGTATGTGTATATATGTATAGGTATGTGTAGATATGAAATCCGTCGTTTGTCATTTACAAGAAACGCTCAAAATGTTTATTCTTAAGAAGAGAGACCTTGATGATAATACTCGTCCATAAAAATTGCAGGTATCTATAGAATTGTTATATCGTTGTATACGAAAAGATAGAAAAAGAGAGAGAGAGAGAGAGAGAAAGATATAATAATAATAATAATAGACAAAAAAAAATGTAACGCGATAGGGTTACATAATCATTTCGTATTAAATTGATTACACGTAGGAATATGTACGAGAAGAAGACTCTTGCTCAATAATTTTGTTTTGACAAGAGACATTTCTTTCTCTTTTCCTCTTTTTGCCAATCTTTCTATCTCTTTTCGTTTCTCTTTATTGTGTAAAGAATCAGCCGATATCTTGCATTCCATGATCGTTATAACGAGTTACCTTTCCATTCGAGAAAAAGAGTGGAGGAAATTGACGATGAAAAAGTTAAAAAAGAAAAAAAAACAGTGTTACGTGTCGGAACTTTTCGAAGTGATTTGTTTTATTTGATTTCTTTTTTTTTTTTTTTCTTTTTATTATTTTTATTTCTCCGAAGTGCGAAGCAAACTCTTTGCACAATATGACTAAACAATTTCTTTCTCTCATTTTATTTGTCCTTTATATTTGTAATTTTTTGTTTGTATTATATATTTCATGCAGAGGAATTTCATCGTAATTAATCTTACGTAGGATTTTATTATTCCAATAATTTATTCTAAAATTGTATACACATTATTATTATTATTTCGTCGAAATAAAAGGATATATATATAGAAGAATTTATTATAAATAATGTTTACCCTTTAAGATAAATAACAAGGCATCTTAATCGACAGATTAAATTCTTGATCGGTCAGAGAATGAATTTCATTATATTTCAATGAAATAATTTATATTACGGAGAGTTTAACGAAGGTTGACTTTTACAACAATGTTCGGTTCTTGATCCCTTTCTCCTTTTATATTGATAATTCGCCTTCTCTCTCTCTCTCTCTCTTTCTTTCTCTTCCTTCTATCCAGATTAAATCTAATGTTAAATCAAAAGCTAATTGCAATTCCCTTTGCGCAAAGTTTACCTCGACCTCGACTCCGACCCTCGTTTTCCAGTTCCTGCTTTCCTTTCGATGTAACGATCGACTTTGTCGCAAGGAACACGTCAATGCATTTGTACGAGACCTTCTATCGATCTCTTAACTTTGTATTCGTATCTCCATCTGACTCTGTGTGTGTTTTTGTGTCTTGTTAAATCGTAGATCGTGCTTTAGAGTTGAACGGAAGTTTGTCGATCGTGATTGACATGCCATCCTCGTATCAGGGTAGTTGTACTTCTAAGGGACATTTCCTTCGAATTTTGATGTCTCTTTGGTCTGATCATGTTATCTCGACTTATTAATATTTAATAATTCTACCTTTTAAACAACGTTGATCATTTTCTCATTTTCTTAAATTAATTAATATTTGTATTTCTAACACAAACATATTTGGAAATAATAATAATAATAATAATATTGACAAAAATAGTTACAATTAATTAGAATTAATGTTGTTCTATATCAGGAGAAAAATCTCATGCCATTAAAAGTATTAATTGATGTAATAAGGAAGTCGGAAATAAATTGTGAATAGATGTCGAGGATATTCCGATTTATTACCGTACAATTATATCATGGTCAATATCATTTTACATTAAACAGAAAAAAAAAATCAAATATAAATAAATAATATAAATAAGATATCGCAATAGCCTCGATCGCTGATATTTTATTCACACATAGAGACACGCGCGCGAATACTTACACACATAAATGCATAAGGAGATACACGTGTCTGTTAGCCAAAACGCTAGAAAGCAACGGTGAATGCAACGTTTGAAATTCTATGATCGAACGTTTCAAAAGCTATGTTGAATTCAAGTCACTAGATCGTGTGGCCGATACGATTTGAAATGCATTGAACGTGTTCCTTTTTTTATTTTGTTTTCTTTTTTTTTGCTTTCAGGTGCGGGAGTACCGCAACGTTTGGTATTCGCTGTGATGGGCTTTCTTGCAGTCGTCAATGCCTATATCATGAGAGTATGCCTGTCGATCGCTTTGACGCAGATGGTTAAACCTAGTAATGGGACAAACGGAACCTCTCTCGACAATACTTGTTCTGCTTTCCAAGAAAATCACATCGTCGAGGAGAAACAATCTGGCACTTACGAATGGACTGAAGGCCAGCAGGTGAGCAAAGGCGATTGACCTATCGAGAATTTATACCAATAAAATTCTTTTTCTTTACTCTTCTTCAATATTTTTGTACTATTTCTAAAATAACACATGTGTGTGTTACGAAAGATATCCAATTTGCAGATATAATAGTTTCATCGAAATCTTATTCATTTGTATTTAACTCGATTAACTTGTATAGACTAATACTTAATTTGTTGTCTTTATTTTGTTATTTTCAGGGTACAATATTGTCTGCATTTTATTGGGGATATATAATAACTCATCTACCAGGTGGTCTTTTGGCTGAAAGATTCGGTGGAAAGTATTCACTCGGTCTAGGGATCCTTTCGACCGCAGTGATGACACTGTTAACACCGATCGCAGTCGAATTCGGTGGTGCAACGGCTCTTATTATTTTACGTTTCTTGATGGGTCTCGGCGAAGGTACGACGTATCCTGCTTTGAACTCGATGTTAGCTCAATGGACACCTCCCGAAGAAAGGTCGAAGTTAGGCTCATTGGTATTCGCTGGTGCTTTGTTGGGTACAGTTTTCGGTACTTCCATTTCCGGTATCATACTTCAAGATTCTTCGATTGGTTGGGCTGCCGTTTTCTATGTTTTTGGATTCATCGGTGTACTATGGTTCATCATGTGGACCATATTGTGTTATAACAATCCGGACGAACATCCGTTTATTTCCGATCGGGAATTGAAATATTTACACGATCGTATGAGCGCACATACTCACAAGAAACCACCATTGGTACCATGGCGACACATGTTTTCGTCGATACCATTTTGGGCATTGGTTGCTGCCCAAGTTGGCCACGATTGGGGCTTCTTCACGATGGTCACTGATCTCCCAACGTACATGAACAACGTTATGAAGTTCTCGATCAAGGACAACGGTTATTTATCTTCCTTACCTTATCTGTGCATGTGGATTTCAAGTTTAATATCTTCCTGGTTAGCCGACAAAATGATTACAAGTGGATTTATGTCTCGTACAAATGTACGAAAACTTGGTACTACTATAGCCTCTATTGGACCAGGTGCTTTTCTCGTTGGAGCATCCTATGCGGAATGTGACAGGACCATTGTCGTCATTATGTTTACCGTCGGAATGACTCTAATGGGTATGTCCCATTTATTTATTAAATTTTCGTAACTAACTCGTCACACACAATTTGCATTCCATATTTCTTGTTAAAAGTTCATTACGTAAATTTAAATGCAATGCAATTAAAAAATTTTAACTTACTTTCAACAGGTACTTTTTACCCTGGAATGAAAGTAAACGGACTTGACCTAAGTCCAAATTATTCCGGCTCCCTGATGGCTGTGGTTAATGGAATGGGTGCTTTAACTGGTATCATTACACCTTATATCGTAAGAGCGTTTACACCAAATGGCTTGATGACCGAGTGGCGACTTGTGTTCTGGGTCGTTTTCGGAGTCTTTGTCGTTACCAACATAATTTTCGTACTTTATGCGAGCGGAGAGGTTCAATACTGGAATGATCCTGAATTTATTAGAAGGGATAAGGAAGAAAGGCGGCGTAAACATGATATTGAGAAACAAGAGAAAGCGGAAAAAATATCGTTGTAATTAGGGATATATATATATATATATGTGGAAGAAATTATTCTTCATTGAACATATTATTTCGCGATTCTAAAATTAGATATTCTTTCCTTTTTTTTTCTCTCTCTCTTATTCTCAATTTCTTTTTTTTTTTTTACACATTTTAATTTTAGCAAAAATAATTAGATCTCTACTCGTGCATCGCGTATTCTCAAGTATTCTCTTTTCTCTCTTTTTTTTTATATATATATCTCGTTTTGTTCGAAACATAGAACATCAATCGAATTGATCGGTTTTAGATCTCATTGATTTGAGTACTTACGATTAAAACTTAAATGTTTGATGTTTAATAGTTACAAACGAATCTTTCGAAAAGTGTCCCATGATTATCAGGCTTAGATCCTAATCGGTATGTATTAAAATTTCGTTTCATAATTGATGATCTGAAGTTTCTTTTCAAAACATATCTCTAAATTTTCTAACAGATTTAACAAATTTTTATTGCTGGTATCTCTCAAAGGGACAAATCTTCCTTATGAAAAAGAATAATAAATTAAAATCGATTATTTTCTTTATCGAGAGTCCGACAAAGGGAGACTGATAACACGACAAAGGTTTTACCGAGACTGCTGAAAAAAATTGTAATATTTTGTTGATATATACTATAAATATATATTAGATCATTAAGTATGAAACGTTCGATTATTTCGATGACTTTCAATCCGAAATCGGATATTTCATACTTAATGACCTAGTTAATATTTTTGTTTATATCGAATAACGGATATTTATACAGCGGATTACGTGTACTTTTGTTTAATGCGATAATAATATTATTAATTGGTGAGTTAGATAATCGTTAATTAATTACTAACTAAATTTTGACGACAGATCTAACGCATTAGATCGATATATGTATAATTTTATTAGATTATTAATTATGTATGTATATTAATTATATGCATACACATATAAATATCGTTCATAAGATCAAGGCTTCTCAAACTTTTCCGTTTAGCGATTCTCTTTACCCGTGCTAATATTTTCGCAACCCACAGTATAAACTCTATACTATTTTCTCTCTTGTTATCATAAAATCGCAGATATATTAAAAGTGTGCTATTGCCAAGCTGGTTTTTTTTTTTGTTAATTTTCGATGGCTGCGCTTCCAAGAATTTTGTTAGTTATGCTGAAATTTTGGCGACCCCGTACGAGGTTGCTAGTAATAGTTTGGGAAACCCTGTATTAGAATACCGCCATAAATGAAAAACTGTGCAATCTATATATATATATAGATTTATGCACACATGCATGAAATGTTAATTCGTAGTAAGTTATTATCTTTTGTAGATACATTTATATGTCGATTCGAATTCTATTATATATGCGTTTAGTAATCTATGAAATAACATACTTTCACTGCGTTATATTACGTGTTCCGCGTTTACCTGTCTTTCAATGCTCCTTCGAAATACTCCCACCGCGAATTTTGTTACCCAATCGATGACGACAACTTAGCAATGCAGAAAATTCGAGCTGCGAAATGCGATGACGTTGAACTTTTTTTAGGCGGTATTCCAAATATCTTAGAAAGTTTATTTTTACTTAGCAATTACTTCATGCATATGTATATATATATATAAAAGAAACACAGATAATTTTTCCCATGTAACACGATATTTCTATAAAATGGTTTTAGTCTAAATTAGGAGTAATCGTCGTCGAAACGCAGTTTTATCATTTGTAAATATTATTATATTATATTGATTCATTATATTTGTGGATATTGTTAAATTTTTTTTTAATTAACAACCGTGTTATGAAAGAATTATCTGTATATACATAAATATATGCATGTTTACGTGTATAAATGACGGAAAAATTCAAAGTGCTTAAAAAGCAGTGAATTTTTCTCAAACTTGTAAATAAAAACACGCACGGTGATATTTTGTATAAGGCATCGAGTTAGGAAACTTTTCAAAACATAAAATAAATAAATAAACAACACGAGATCGGCATACAGACATTTTAAAACGAATTTATTCATTTTAATCAATTTCAGAATCTTTTGGACCAGCTAAAGTGGATTTATTTTTTATTCTTTTTTATTTTGTAATTGTACGATTCAGTAACAAGTTACAATCTATTACACAATTCACAAAATTCCTTTACTTAATGCTACTTTAAAACACGACACTCAAAAAAGAAACTTCGAATTAAAATTGATTTTTTAAGATAATTAAGAGATAAAATTTAGATTGATTGTATATATCAAAAATTGATTTCGAAAAGATAATTTCCACAGTCGACATATATTTAATATTTACTTGTACAATTTCATTTGTATCAATATTCTTTGCATTTTATTGTAACGTAAACAAAAGTAATTTTAACGTAGTAATATATCTTTACTATATTTGATAAAACTATGATAGCATTGATTAGGAGTTACAAATACGCGAAATTAGATAATTAACAGATTTAGAATTTAAAAATGAATATTCCCGGATTCAATTACTTTCTAATGTGCATTTTTTTCAAATATACGTCATTAAAAAATTAAAAAAAATGATCGACTTAATTTATAGATTGTATTAATCTTTTTATTAATTAAATCGCAAATTCTTATCACAAAATTAGTGATAACATCGAGTAGATTAAGCTTGGTTTTATTATACTTTATTTCCTCACTATCTATTTTCTGCTGACTTATTTTTTGATATTTCATTCTGATAATCATGTTAGTTTACATTTGATACTTTTTATAACAATGTAAACAGAATATCAACATATCTTTTAAAAGATGAATTAATTTCATATTTTAAGGTAGTAGTCTGGTTTGAAAGCCGAAATTTCGAACTTTTTTCATTAATTTTTTGAAATATGAAAATAAAATGCAATCGTTTTGAAATTTTTACATGTTTTATATTTATATTTATATAAGTAAATCGGCGGTTAATTTCATAAGCATTTTTTATCATTGGACATGAATCAATCATATATTCTGGACACGAACATTTCACACAGAATTTTAATTCGACCGAAGGAACGGTCGGAGCATCTGCTGCTAACATGTCGGCACACTTCCATACACTGACTATACAACTTCGTGGCTATAACATTGAAAATATTTTAAATTTTGTTCTGAAACTTTCAGATAATATTTTTAAGATGTTTTTCTTGCGAAACATGTAAAAAGAAAAATCGATTTTTTAAACCGGTTAAACCTGACTACTACCTTAATGCGTACTGATTTCTATAGTTCAAAAAATATAGGTTAGACGCTTAGTTTTAAACGTTCAACAATGCTGATTGGTTGGTTCCGATGATGCCTTGCACGTGTGTATATTTTGTGCTGCGAGTTGATTGGTTAACATCAATAGAATGTGCCAATGGCAGAAGTTGTTTCAATAAACATTAAATTATTTATTTATTCATGTTTATTATCATAAGAATTAATTTATATATGTATTTTTGTAAAAAATATTGTATATTCATTAGGAAATGATATTTTAAAATGAAAAATTTGAGTAATACAGGAATTAAGAGTAGTAAGCCAATCACGTGCGACAAAGAAGAAAATTAACTCACCTAATTGGTTAACCACGGAACAGTGAAAATCTTTAAAAACATCGATATTATTCGATAATAAAATGCTATGATCGGTGGCGATAGCTGTGGTCAAACGATATTTGACTAAAGTTATTTCTAAGCAACTTCAGACTGATATCTACCGTTATTGTATATATGGAGTATCTATAGCATGATTTGATCGGAAATGTGTTACTTTTTTTCGTGATCGAAGAAAAGAAAAATTAGCATACAGATATCTGTATGATAGAAAGGACGATTTTTAACGTAATTAAATTTATTAAATCGCGACATTAGGAAAGGAAAAAAATACTTATTATATATATAAAAATTTGGTTCGTTTCAAAATCAGTACAAGATGCAAGAATCTCAGCCGAAAAAAGGGAAAAAAGGTGATACAAATTTTCATATTCATTTCAATATCATTCGATTCGATAATAGACAACTTTTAGATTAATCGACATAATTGTTATTATATAAATCGAAGGTTATTTCTCATCTTAATAACTGTCGTCTGCTTTTCGTTTAACCTCAATTCTATCGATAACATATGTGATTAATCTAACCAATATTTCGTCTCGATGTATTACAATTTACTTAACTTTTCGCAATGATTCTGTTCATTAAGAATTCGTTGAAGTATTGAACATTATAATATTGTTTTATATTTTATATTTACTTTATTGTCATTTTTACTATACACATCTGTAAGGAATAAGAACATATTACTAATTTTGAAAAAATATATGTACATACATACATACATGTATAATTTATGATAACAGATGCATGATGCCTATTCTATTGAGTGAAATTTGTTTTTAATGTTATTGCTAATATCTAGATTTTTATGTACTACGCCTGTATGTTATTTGTTTTTTTTTTAATTTTTAATATTTCATTTCACTGGTATCATAAGCTCATTCATTTAAAAATATATTTGTTTATACGAATATATAGCAAGAAGAAAGCGTAATGATAGTGATGAAGACATCGAAAAAGTTCTTGCTGAGTTAGAACTAGAATATTCCGGCCAAAAAGCACAAGTTAAAGAGGTAAAGGAATCTTCTAAAAACACTTTAGAAAATAAAGAAAGTGCCAAAGAAACTGCAGTAAGTTCAGAAACTAAAGACGAGCCAGAACAGAAAATAGAAGAGGAGAAGAAGAAAAAAACGAAGAAAGATAAAAAGAAGGATAAAGGCGAAAACAAGGAATTCAAGGAAGATATTACAAATGATATTAATAATGAACAAGCAACTGATGACACAAGTGTTACCGCTGAAGATGAAATGGAAGGTGGTACTGTCAAAACGGCAGCACAAAAAAAGAAAGAAAAGAAGGAACGAGAGAAACAGAAGAAGTTGGCTTTAAAAAAAGCAGTGAGTAACAGATAATTTAGTGTACATTACAAAAATGTATTAAGTAAACCTTAATGAATAAAAAATTTTATTGCAGGAGGCTGCTAAGAAAGCTGAAAATGGTGAAGCAACAAAAAAACCTGCTAAAGAAAAACAGGACGAGAAACAAGAAATAGAAGAAAAAGCAGCCAGCATCGCAGAACCAGAGGAAGATGTAGGGGAACTCGAAGAAGGAAAGAAGAAGAAAAAGAAGGGTGCGGCTAAAGAGGAAGCAAAAGAAAAAGGTAGTTCCATTTAAAATTACACAATTTCCAATTACACATTTACGTAAATAAATTTTTCATGCAGGTAAGGGACCTGGTAAAAAGACCATCGCTGCGATGCAAGAAGCCTTGAGAAAATTAAAGGAAGAAGAAGAAAGATTAATACGAGAAGAAGAGGAAAGAATAAGACAAGAAGAATTACGCGAAAAAGCAAGATTAGAACAAATTCAATTGGAACAAGAACGAAAGGAAAGGAAAAAATTAAAAGAAAAGCAGAGGAAAGAAAGATTGAAAGCGGAAGGAAAACTTTTAACTAATAAACAAAAGCAGGATAGAGCAAGAGCGCAAGCTATGATTAACGCTCTCAAAGCTCAGGGTTTAGATCTACCGGATGTTGGAGATAAAAAGCCTAGGGCAGGTATGTTTAAAATGATAATATTTTTCAACAAACAATTAATCAACTATTTTGATATTCAATATTTATTTTATTTAATTAGGAACGAGAATAAGGCCAAATAAAATGAAACAACAAACCAGTGTTGAGGAAAAAGATGACAAAAAATCTGAAGATACTGAAACGGATACGGATCGCGTTCAAGTTGAATTAATTTATCAAACACCGAAAGATGTACCTGAGAAAAAGGAAGAGGAGGTCAAAGATTCTTGGGATGCTGAAAGTAGTGGGGATGAACAGGAAGAGGAAGGTAATTATTGTTTTAATTTTTTTTTATTCTATATATTATATTACTCAAATATTCATAAGACTTGTTATAATTCTATAGATAAATCAGACGAAGCATCGAAAACGTCTGAAGAAACGAAAGAAACCATTTTATCCAATGCAGACAAATCAAATTTGGTAGGAGACTTAGAAAAGAAAGAATCGTCGGAAAGTGAATCTGAAAGTGAAAGCGAAAGTGAATCAGAATCAGAGGATGAAAGTGAGGAAGATAGTGGATTAGAAGATAGAGTACCGGATGCTGCACGAAAAAAGGAACGTGCGCAGGAACGCATCCTAAATCGCCGACTCGAAGCTGAAAAGAAGAAATCGTTGGATAACCTGAGAGCAGCTGTAGTTTGTGTTTTGGGCCATGTAGATACTGGTAAAACAAAGATCCTTGATAAATTGAGGAGAACTAACGTACAGGATGGGGAAGCTGGTGGTATAACTCAACAAATTGGTGCAACCAATGTACCAATTGAAGCGATACAAGAATCAACGAAACATGTTAAGGGTGTAAGTATTTCGTTAGAACATTAAATTTTGATTGAGGTATTTTTATTAATATTATTATTATTTTGTAAGTAACGAGGATATTGATTGTTTGTTGTTTACAGTTTGCTGATAAAGTATTTAAGATACCCGGACTTTTGATAATAGACACACCTGGGCACGAATCTTTCAGTAATCTTAGAAGTCGAGGATCCTCTCTTTGCGATATCGCAATTTTAGTTGTTGATATAATGCATGGTTTGGAACCACAAACCATCGAAAGTATTAATCTATTAAAAGTTAAGAAATGTCCATTTGTTGTAGCTCTTAATAAGATTGACAGGTAACTTTCAAAATATATAATTATTCGACGATTTTCAATTATAATCTGATGTTATTATATATATTTTCATTTGTTTTTGTAAAATAGGTTGTACGATTGGCAAACAATGAATCGAAAAGATGTCCAAGATATTATAAAAAGTCAAGCTATCAATACGCAACGAGAATTTGAGAAACGTTCGAAAGAGGTAATCGTCCAATTTGCCGAGCAAAGTCTAAATGCAGCCTTGTTTTATGAAAATCCTGATCCACGCAGTTATGTATCCTTAGTTCCTACGAGTGCCATAACAGGTAACTGTGATAACAATCAATCGTATTATATATGTATACTTGTAATTTAATGAACGTGAATATGAAGGAGAGAAAATGTTGTACATAATAGAATGGTTTTTTCTTTGTATTATTTAGGCGAGGGTATGGGAAATTTGTTAGCATTAATAGTCGATGCTTCCCAGGGTCCGTTAGCTAAGAGACTTATGTATAGCGAAGAGCTTCAAGCTACTGTACTAGAAGTTAAAGCATTACCTGGCTTAGGAACTACAATAGATTGTATTCTAGTCAATGGCATGTTGAAGGAAGGTGATACGATGATAGTCGCGGGAACTGATGGACCCATCGTAACACAAATAAGATCACTTCTTATGCCCCAACCATTAAAAGAGTTAAGAGTAAAGGTACGTTGTTTAATTAAATAATCCAATTAGTACAGTCATTTTAAATGAGTTTATTTCTTATTCATTAGAATGCATACATCGAGCATCGAGAAGTCAAGGCTGCTCAAGGTGTTAAAATAGCAGCAAAAGATTTAGAAAAAGCTATTGCCGGTATGATTTAAATATTAATTATTATAATTAATGCACAAAGGAAGGAAATTATTTAAAATTTCATTTTGTTTGATACATTTGATCGTAGGATTGAATCTTCAAATCGCTCAAAAGCCAGATGAAGTTGATATCCTGAAAGAAGAAATAGCCAAGGAACTTAGCAGTGCTCTTGGAAATATACGACTTGCTGAACGAGGTGTATATGTCCAAGCATCAACTTTGGGTGCCCTGGAAGCATTGTTAGATTTCCTTCGAAGCAGTAAAATTCCGGTACGTGTTAATAATTTAAAATCTATTCTAATAGGGGATCTACAGTATCTATGCTTATCGATTTATCAATTTTTATATGTCTAAAAAAATGAGCTAGATGTCGCCGCGTGTGATTTTTTTCAACGGAATTTATTCACTAGATGTCGTGGTTAGTCGCAAAAGACGATCGAAGTTCGTCGCGTTTAACATTAAAAAATTAATTAATTTAATATTTTCTTATTAAAAGAATATTGAAATAATTAAACAGAGCTATGCGAAGTATTCTAGAAAACTAGTTAAATACTGTTGTATTATAAATCTGATTGTTAGTTTAAAATATCGTAAATATGGATTTACATTTTGGCGGGAATTATTTTTCAAGAAACATTCGATATAATTGAATAAAAAGAACGCAAACAATTGTATTAAAAGTATCTTTTAATTATATCATATATACATGTTTAAGTATATAAAGATATATATATAAAGAAGAAAGAAACAACCTGTTCCTTTAACAGTGTAGTTGGGAATCGATTCTTTTTGCAAAATTTTATAACCGCAAAAACGTAGTGTCTCGTAAGCGGTCGATGTGTTACGAAATGGTCGAGAAAAGGATAGAAGGGGTACAGTAGTAGTTGGATGTAAGAGTAAGAGTAGAATAAGGAAGAGTGAGTGTGAGGGTCGGAAGGAGGGAGAAAGAAATAAAGAAAGAAAAATAAAGAGGGAAGGAAAGCAGGCAGGGTTAGCTAGCTAGTACACACGCATCGCAAACGAACGCGTGTTCGTCGTCGCTCAAGGCAAGAGACGAGTGCAAGAGGAAGAGAGAAAGAGAGAGTAGCAAGAACAGGAGGATATATAGAGAGAGAAAGAGAAAGAGAGAGGGAGAGAGAGAGAGAGAGAGAGAGAGAGAGAGAGAGAGAGAGAGCAGCAACGAACCACTTCCTTCTTAACAGTTTAGCAGGATACGGCTCATTGGTCGTACACGGTGCTTGTAGCCGTGATCCATCGTGCTATCAGCCGTGCGGTACATCCGTGGGCACGCCTCGTAGTTTCTACAGGGTGTCTTAATTGCGCATTCATCGCCATGCGCGAGAAGAAGAGAGAAAGAGAAAGAGAAATAAGCTTTAACTTTGTATATCGGTTTAGGATACATATATTGTATCAAGGTTACAAAGAATATTATATTTCTTTTATGTTTCACATTTATATACAAAAAAAACAAATCAAATTTGAAATTTTTCAAATGTTTATTTCTGTAGTTAAATTCACGCGCTTTATTTGTGGCCATCTTGAAAAAATTAAAGTTTTCATTTTAAATTCGTAGATATTTAGACTTCCAGATATTTGTAATATTTATTTCATTTATTTTGTAGTTACACAACAGTCTATTAGGAAGGAATTAATTAGAAATTAAAATAGCGTTTATTACATTTGTTTATTTCTAAATGCACGCACTAATTTTTCGCCATTTTGACGAATAGTTAAGAAGTTATATTCAATATTAAGATATTTATAAAAATTATAATATTATTTTGAAAATCGAAACCTTGTATTATCTACTATTGATCGGTATGAGTAACAACCATAGTAAAATTGTTATTTCACTTTTATCGTAAATTATTTTCCTTAGCGATTTATTGCATTCACAAATTTAAAAAAAAAAATTTGGAATACGCTGTATAGAAGGTAAATATAAGAAAGAAAAAGAAAGAAAGAAAATGTTGGTTTGTTACTAATCGAAGTAACGTATCGTCCGAAGCGGCCTTAAGGCTGTCCTTGCTCGGGTTATGAATGGGCTCTCCCCCCCACTCTATCTCGCACGATCACGCGGCTACGTGACGTCACGTTTATCACATATACGCACAGCGAAGAGGTAGCTGTGTATATAACGACGATACGAGCAAACTCGACACGTACAGCGTATCGACTACGTCCCATCCACATCCACATCCCATCCAATCCAATCACGTAGCCATCCTCACGGGAGGACTCCAAATAAGTACGATATGTATGCGTGTATATGTATTGGAAAAGGGACGAAGGAACATCGTAGGTTGTGTGTGTAGTGTAAAGAGTGAGTTTCCAACATGAGGAGCAGCCCCCTTTCCCCTCTCCCCGTTCCTCATCTCCTCCAACTCTTCCTTCCTCCTCTCTCTCTTTCGTTCGGTGCTCGTACGTTTCTGCGCATGCGCGCGAGCGCACGGATGTGTGTAGGCTGAAAAAAAGGAATACGTGACCGACGTACAGGAAACTGCCCACACTGGGAGTGAGAGCACCGTGGGTGGATAGACGGAGGATTCTCGAATCGTTTGGCTTTTCGGGATAAAGGGTTATGCACAACCGAAAAGGAATGAATACGATTTAATGAACTTGCTTACTTACTTACTTACTTACTTACATTACTTACATATGTGCATATGCATATGCATATGCATATGTACGCGTAGATTGTTTCAAAAGAGTAAAGTTTTGAGCTATTAATTAAATTGAAATTTGTATCATTTATTTTAGATAAAATTTATTTAAGGATCAACATTTTTCAATTCACTCACATATGTGATTATATACTTTGGTATTTTGTACATATAAGTGTATATATGTATGTATGTCCCGATATTTAATGCATACCATTAAAGGAGCTCACTCTACGTATACGTGTATGTGCATATGTCGCGATGCTTTCACGTAAATGTCTATTGAAACAGAAGATACGATTTTTTAGTTTCTTTTAGAAAAGAATCAATGATTTTTCATTTCTTCAATTTTTCTAATTCCCTTTTCTTTCTTCTTTTCTTTTTTTTTAGTTTGTTTTAACGGGTGCAATATACTTATTTACTTTATTTACATCAACTACATATATGTGTATATACTTACATAGTTTTCTTTTTCACTTGTTCGATTATAACCAGGAAATGCAATTTCTCATTACGTCGCATCCGTCGATTCATTTTTGCGCTCCACGGCCCGTATGGGAACCACCGGATATTTCTTTCTCTCTCTCTCTTAAATATACATATATATCTATAAACATATATGTAGTTTTAACTCATATACACGGAGAAGAACTCTATCTCTCTTCTTTGCTCCCTCACCCTCCCCATCCCCTTTTTCCCCGTCTTTCCTTCCTTCCTTTTAATAACGACGAAAGATCGCACGATTTCTAGCTCCGCTAGATCGTAGTAATCTTGAAATTATTACTCTTTGCTACTTGTTCTTTTTTTTTTTTTTTTTTTTTTTATAACTTATTTTTTTTTTTTTTACATTTATAACGATCTACTTGTTTAAGTCTCATCGTAATTTTGTATTTTTCTAATTTTATTTTTATTTTTTTTCGATCGAGAAAACGTTCACTTCCATCGAAACTTTTCTTGACTTTCGTTTTTAAGAATATAAGAGATAAAAAACTACGAGTGATACTATACATGTTTTTTTTTTTTTTTTTTCATGGGGGGTTTTGTATGATAGTACTTGGAAAATCACATCGGCAGGTGATAAAAGACGATTTTTCGGAGATTTCCAAGCAACGCTATCTTTTAATATTCTTTACGTGTTTACTCGAAGAGTTAGAGTTACGAGTTAGAGAGATAGAAGAATATGCTTGGACGTGAACGTAGTTACTTTCGTGTAGGCTTGCTTTTATAGATACGCGTGTATCGTTTTTCTCGATTGAGTGTTAAAAACGAAACGAGAAATATACGATTTGAATTTTTCTATATAATGAAATTTTTGTTGAGATTATTTTTCAAATACGTATTATAAAAATAAATATAACAAAGTATTCTTTGATTATAAGATTAAATTGAAACACATTGTATACTATCAAAATTATAGTTTCATACGTATTTTAATATATTATTATACCGTAAACCATAAATATATTAATAATTATAATAGTGGCCTAAGTCAACAAATTATACAATTTCATTTGATAATTTATTTGATAATAGAAATAATTTTCATATAAAATAAATCATAAAATTCATTTTTTTTCTTTTTACATTCAGTTCACTGTCATATTTACCGGCACACAGAAATATAAAATAATAATATTAATTTTTTGAAAAGAGAATAAAAAAAAATAAAAATAGAGACTTTAAAAAAACAAAATGATTGTAAGATAACTTTCAAATTATATAATGATACTTATCGTGGATATAATTTTTTTTTCAAGATATTTATTAAGAAGTTTGTAATCGTATTTGAATAAAAAGAACATTTGTTTAATTAATCAGAAATTAATAGAAGGAATGAATTCTTTGATGAAATTGTTAAGATTATTTTAAACAGTTCGGAAAAAGTTATCGTATTCGTACTGGTTATTTCTTTCTGTATCGTTGAATGATAATTAATCAGCTTGCGTATTAGTTAGTTACTTCCAAGAAGGTAGTGCGTGTCCCGGTTAGCTATCGATTCCGATACTGTTTGTTTAAACAGGACGAGGACAGGAAGACGCTTGATAAGAATCGTTAATTCGGTAAGGCCGTTCGTTCCTTCGCAATTCATCGTTTAGCTCACGCAATCGATTTCGATTCGATTCGATTCGATTCTACCACGTCGACAGCTGACTTTTACTTCATATATTGATTAAGATAATTTATGAAAATTAATTTCCTTTTTTTTTTTAATATACAATGCATTACGTTATATATGCTTGTAAATTTTAATGCAGTATGTTCCACTTGCATACAAATTTGTGCGAATAATATTTTCGAATTTATATTTCTATGTGCGTTGTATATTTTCAAGAAAAAGAAAACAAATATGTATTTTTAATTTCTATGATAGGAGGTGTAATATGCGCAGCATATATATAGAAATAATTTTATTATTAAATATAGTTATAAGAGAAACGTTTTAACAAAAATATATTACAAATTTGTGGATCTCTATGGTATAATCAGCGAAAAAAAAACCTTTTTCATGTTTGATTACCTCAATGTTTGAATATTTAAATTTTCTTTTTGATATTGCATCAGAATTTATTTATCACAAAATATACGTCAAAGAAAACAATTGTATATGTAACATCACACAGTCTCTCCTCTTATGTTATACAATTACGAACACAAAAATAATTACAAATTAGAGTATATATTATCAAAATAGATATCCCAAAATAAAATATAATATTTTCATTTCTTATAATTACAAAAAATAAATATAAAAACCATAATTTTTGATTGGGTAAACAATTCGAATCTAATTGAATACTTTGGATGAATCTCTTTCTTTTTCATACATACACACACACACACACATTGTCACTTTGATTGTACATCATACTGGTTCTGTTAATACTGCATCCTGCGTCAAGTGCATCGAAGAGAGCAAACGAAGGAACAGTTCCTCTTCTCTCTTTCTGTGCATCGACATCGGCATCGGCATCAGCAACAGCAACGGCAACAGCAACGGCAACGCAGCAGGAAAAGATGGCTCGTTTCCTCGCATTGTTTTTAACCATGGTGTATATAAGCAAGCGGCTGCTACGCGCAGGGACATGGGAGCGGATGCGGAGTGCAGACACGTGAACAACGTTACCCGCTTTACCAACTCCTATATGTGTATACATACACATCCATATATTTCTATATATATATATACACCTATATATATGTTTGTATGTGGACGACTGGCATCATCGGGGCCTTTACAAGTCGCGCGATATATCCGCGCGCGTTTTCATGATTCAACAAAAGCCTCCTTTTTCTCGCGAAGGTGAAAAGACGAATGAAAAAAATAAAAAAAGAGAGAGAGAGGAAGGGAGACATAATTAACATTTTTAATTATAGTTTCTTCGAACGATATAAAGAATTGTTTTCTTTCAAATTAATATATATATTGCATTTTATTATTAAAAATTTATACTAATATAAATGAATTTTTTTTGTAATTACATTCGGTTTCTCTCTCTCTCTCTCTCTCTCTCTTATTCCTTCTTTCTAATTTCGTCTTAGTTATCAAGCTTGTTTAAATAAGTTACGATCGTGAAATCAAATTGTTATACGTCACTACCGGTAAGACAGGATGCCACAGAGGATAGATAAAGAGAAAGAAAGAGGGCGGGGTAGAGGAGGGGGGAGGGGTTTAAGGGGAAATAGAAAGAGATAGAGAGGTAGAAGAGAAGAAGGAGCCAAGTTTAGCAAACTCGAGTTTAATAAATTAGCATTTCCTTCTTCGGGAAACGTTCCGTTGTTACGATGAGAGGCTATAGAGGATCTGTGTGCCCTACCGGCTGATTTTAAATGCCGGAAGTCGACTCTCTTTCTCTCTTTCTCCCTCTCTCGACTTCCTGCCGTTTATACCAACATTTCTTTCCTTGGTAACATCTGCCGTCCGTCGTTGCTCCAATGATCGTCCCTCCTCCTCCTCCTCTTATTCTCCCCCACCCCCCTTTATCTTCCTCCTCTTCCTCTTACCTCTCCTTTCCACTACTACTCGATCTTTTCTTCTTTTTTTCTTTTTTTTTCGAAGCTTCGCGGATACCTCGTTCAAATCATTCAGAAATTCTAATTTTTTTTTCCCTTTCCACTTTCTCATCCTTTTATCCAGTCAAATTTGGATACCTCTTTCTAATGGCCCACGCATAGTCTTCATTGAACTCGGTCAATGATCCTTGTTCGACTCTCTTTCTCTTTCTCTCTCTCTCTCTCTTTCTCCGTGTCTCCTTTATCTTCAGGTATGCAGACCAGGGTTTAGGTTAGATCGTTCGTTCGTTCGAAGAAATGCACCGGAAGTCCTAAAAAGCAACGTTATCTCGTTAATGCCTCCCCCCCCCACTCTCCCTTCCTACCAAAATGGAACTTTTTTCGTCCATATTTCTTTATTTTTAGTTTCATTTTGATAATCGAATGATATTAGAAATTTTTCTCTCTTTGCCCAATGGGATATTATTGACCTTTGTAATTAGCTCGTAATTTTACGTAATCTCTCATTTACGTAAATTACGATGAGATATAATACAATCGGTCTTAATCGATTCTCTCTCTCTCTCTCTTTTTTATAAACATTTGATACGAATTATGTATAAACGTTGTCAATAAAATATAAACGATAAGGAAAATGTTAGAAATATTTTCTAAATTTCTGATTTCTGAAATTTTACTCTGTGATACTAGGAATTCAGCAGAGGTACAAGTATAATATATGTGTGTGTATATATATATATATATACACATAGGTATGTTAACGATACGGATGTATTTACGCACGTATATACGTGCGTAAGATAGGCAGGGATGATTAAATGGCGCCTTGAGTTGACGCCGCCGAATAGCTTGTTTGTAGGTCCCCATCGGTGCGTGCGTTTATTTCTACGCGTTGCGTCTCGTCGCACCGCCCAGCCGAATCCGGACGGCATGCCGCGGCATGCGTCACAAGTTATTTTTACGTCACATAGTCTGTCTCTTCGTATTTTCTCTCTCTCTCTCTCTGTCTCTCTCTCTCTCTCTCTTAATACGTTTGTATGCACGTGTCTATCTACACGATCATCGTTTATTCGCGTGTGGGTGTCCTACTACACACGTGAAGAAATATAACGTATACGGAAAATTTTATATATATATATATATATATATATTTGTATGTATGTATACGTGCATATTTATACGCGTGTATGTATATACGTAAATGTATATTCTCTCTCTCTCTCTCTCTGTCTATCTCACTTATTTTTTTTTTCAAACGATAAATCGTTCATCCAAAATCTAAATTTTAATCTCACGATCTGTTTGCTCGTTTGTTTTTTTTCTACAGTATTCCGGTATTCGTATTGGACCAGTTGTGAAGAAGGATGTGATGAAGGCCTCGATTATGCTCGAACACGACAGCCAGTGAGTATCCTTTTTAATTTCTGCTATTATACTTTTTTTTTTTTTTTCTTATCGTTTTTTTATACTTTATTTTCTTGATTCCTTCTCTTCGAAGGTAGTACGCTGGTTTACTCCAAATTTTTTCGTTCATTCGTTCATTCATTCAATCAATCAATCAATCATTCATTCATTCATTCATTCTTATAAGCCACCACACACTTTCTTTCATTTATCGCACAGATACGCCACAATTCTCGCATTTGATGTAAAGATAGAAAGGGACGCTCAAGAACTTGCCGACTCGTTGGGGGTTAAGATCTTCCAAGCTGACATCATCTACCACCTGTTCGACAAGTTCACCTCCTACAGGGAGGAATTGAAACAACGGAAGCGAGATGAGCACAAACACATAGCTGTTTTCCCTTGCAAATTACGTGTCTTACCACAGGTAACTTTTTATATGTGCACACGTTATAAGTAAAATATTTTTTAAATTGAGAACAAAATAATCAAAATTTTTCTTAAAAATGATTAACGACCATATAAGTTATACTTGAAAAATGTACATGTCTTATGTTAACACATTTACTCTAGTATATAGAAAAAAAAAAACAAAATTTATATTATGAAAACTTCAACATATTTATTACCAGTTTCACATATTTGCGTCACCCAAGTTTACATTGGATGGTCAGTGTCATATATTTGTGACGGTTAATTAACGCGAAAAATAACTTCAGGGCTGTTGCGAACTGTAGCAAACGTATTAATAAAGGGTTACAGGTTTACCTGGATAAACACGCGCATAAGACTTCCAATAATATTCTTACATAGATCTCAAATTTGAGTAGAACGTATATGGCCTGTATATTCCCTATTACTAATAATTTCATATCATTAATTTAGAACTCTTTTTATTTTACCATAGTACATCTTCAATTCAAGAGATCCTATAGTGATGGGTGTTATGGTTGAAGCTGGTATCGTCAAGGAAGGAACACCGCTCTGTGTGCCAAGTAAAGATGTGAGTAACTCAATTCTATTTTAATTCTAATATTGTCTTGGTTTATTTCTTATTAATTTGAAGAGACAATACGATTCATCTTGAGTGTATCCAAACGTAAAGAAACTATTCCCATTTTGTTTTGAAATTCAAATAACTCAATAACTATTACTACTACTACTACGGACACACACACACACACAAATATATGACGTGTGTAGAAGAAAGGGAGAAGGCATGAGTCTCGAGATGGATAACGTATGTAGAAGAATCTTTTCGCGAGATTTCGTGTGGGCGTTGTTCAAAGTATCCACTGTGTGTGTGTGTTTACTACTAGCCAACTCGGGCCAAGTAGGAATGTAATATTTTTTATCGCGTTTAAGCTTTCTCATTCTTCTTCTTCTTTTTTTTCTTTTTTATTTTTTTTCTTACGCGTTGTGTAAATCTTCGCGAACGCGACGAAGAAAATGAAATGTCGAGTAAGGTGTAACCATCAAAATGATGGAGAAAGAAAGATAAAGAGAAGGTAAAAAGAAGGTGTTGCTTGAGACTACTCTCCTCATGATCATTGTTGAGCGTAGGTGAACTCGTTCCGTTCACGAAAGGAATATGGCGATCCAGTTGGTTGGTTGGTTGGATCGATCGACTCGATCAAACGACCGGACGTGTGTATACCAACTCGAATCCGCGGTCCCTCTCTTTCGAAGTATCTTTCTCTTCCTCGTAGGAGGAAGGTAGTGGGTAGTCGATCCCTCTGGCCTCACCTTACGCGGTAACGTGCGAGTGTTACAGGTTGCCTAGCCTTGATTTCGTAGGCGTTCGGACCCGCACCCGCTGAATTCCCTAGCTTCGAAAAGGAGATAACAAAAAAAAACAACAATCGTGGACGAAAAGAAAGAAAGCTTTTTTTTTCAAATCGTCGAGAGAAGATAATAACAACATTTTTTTTTAGCAAAATAAGAATATTGTCTCGTATAACAATGAGAGATTGAAGTTTGATTCATTTTTTAGGATAGACTATTTGATTTTATTAGTCAAGGTAATTTTACAAAATTAAAAAAATAAAGCTCAGCAATATTTGTACATTCGGCTGATAATATTTAATATGAATAAACGATGTTTATTTTTTTTTGAATGTGAATAATATAAAATAAAAAAAGTAAAAATGTTAACAAGTTTAATTGATTAGGTGAGTTATTTTGGTTAGATCGGATCGTTAAGTATGTATATCGTTTTATGGATCCGTCAAGAGAGATCAAAGTTATAAAGCTGTTGTTCTAGCTTCTGTATAAGGGGCATTCCCTAAGCGCATATGTAGGTATATCTCTTAGAAAGCAACTCCGACCACGTAGAACTCTGGCCCACGCGCAACTCCAAACCCAGACTGGTCGGCCGTGTCCCGGCGAGTTTATTTTTGACTTTTTAAACCGAACGTTTCGCAAACTCGTGAAACTCTGTCGCGAGTAGAACGGGCTAGCCTCGCGCGGCATCCTCCTCCGCCAATTAGAGGAACTCCGACATTTTTTACTCTGCTATATGGTTCTTAAGAGCGGAAGTTATATCGTGTCTCTCATCCGGTCTCTCTCTCTCTCTCTCTCTCTCTCTCTTTCTTCCTCTCTCGATGTACAATAGTAACTCCTACTACTATATAGTTTCATGACATTCTACATCAACGAGACGAAAATTATTTCTAATCATTTTTCAGATTTTTTAAATAAAGTTTTTAGAATTATTTAGAATATTACGTAAAATTCTTGGTCCTCCAAATAGATAATTTAATATGAATATTTTTTAGGATTATTCAGGATTATTCGGATAATATTATGCATCCGGTTTTTTTTACATTCTTTTTTTGCGAGATAGCAATTTTTATATTATGTTGTTTCATGGTATTAATTTCTGACGATTTTCAAGATTTCGTGTGTGTGTGTGATAATGCTTTGAAAATAATGAAAATATTTGGATGGTTGATTTAATCAATATTTAGAATTGCTCAGTGATAATATTTTGCATCCGGTCTTTTTTTTTTTTATGCAGGATAGTAATATCTATTATCGAATTTCCTGGCACTTATTTGTAATCATTTTTGTGACTGTGATAATATTTTTAGAATTATTTGAATATTAGAATGTTAGGTAAAATTTTTGTTATTGGAGATGATGAATATTTTCGAGGGGGATTATTCAAGATTATTTAGATATTATTATGCATCCGGTTTTTTTCGTTCTTGTCATACAATTTAAATCAAATAATTCCTATTATGTTACTCCCTGACATTTATTTCTAATTATTTTCAAAGGCTTTGATGTTTTTTAAATTAGTAGAAAATTAGGTAGAATATTTTTTATTAAAACAAATGTTTCAAACAATATTCAAGATTATTCAGTAATAATATTTTGCATTCTGTCTTTTTCTTTCTTTGTGCGAAATAGTTATTCCTATCATCTAATTTCATGATTCTTATTCCTAATTATTTTTAATACTGATAATGTGTTCTTACAATTATTAGAATATCATATTAGAAAAAATATTTCAATAATAATTTCTTAGAAAAAAAATATGTTTCAATATAATTATTTATGTAAGATTATTCAATGATAATATTCTGCATCCGGTTTCTTTCATTCTTTTGATGCGGGGATAGAAATTCTTTTCCATGTTGTTTTATGACGTTTGTTTCTAATGATTCTCGGGATCGTGATATTGTTTGTGTAGACCTATATTAAAAAATTAAGTAAAAGTTTGGTCATAGTAAGAACGCGGACGATTCATAGAATATTTGTTTAGGATAGTTCAGTGGCCATATTATGCATCCGGTCTTTTTCCTTTCTTCATGTGGGATATTAATGACACTCTGTGCCCAACCATGAAGATTATTTCTAATCATTTCCGAAACTTTGATAATATTTTTAAAATGATTATAGGAGAAATTAATTAAAAATATTATTATTGAAATATTGACAATATTTAATGAATATTTTTATCAACGCAGTTATGAGGCAAAAAAAAAAAAGAGAAAAACGTGTTTAATTACATATATTATATCATAAATAACATAAAAATAATGTCTTTTCAATGAATTAATCTATTATAATACATCCATGAATCTAATTAATTAATTATTTATTTAATATCAAAATTTATGCAATAAATATATGATAAACATAGTCTTCGTTGCCTGCCTGTCTGCCATTGGGTGTAATAAACTCACGAGAAGTGCATATAAGATTGTTGATATTTGTTAGTTCCTTTTTAGGAAAAATAGTGGTTGGTTGGTTGGTTGGTTGATTGGTTGGCCGCAATATCTCGACTCGCATGTGCCGGGTCATCGAGCTTGCTCGTCTTCTCTCTATGTCGGCGCAAAGTATTATAGCTAGGAAAAAAAAAAAAAAAAAAAGAAGAAGAAAAAAAAAAGGGAAACCGATAATGTGTGGCAAAGGAAAGAACGGGGCGGCAAGTAAACGGCAATGCTAAAAGAATCCGCCGGATATCCGTTCGGCGTTAAAGAGCCTATCGAGGCCGTTGCGCAACGTGTACGTGCCGATAACGTATGTATGCTCCGAAAGAAGGCGTGGAAATGCGTCCTCGTATGAAAGAAGAAGTTAGGGTACGCGATATGGGGCTAACAACAACAACACAACGAAATATCTCAAACAAAATGATAACAAACTAACAAAAGTTACAATTAATATATGTTTTGTTTCAAGGTATTTTTATGTTATAACCAAATAATTCATATAATATGTATAAATATGTCAAGAAAATTGATTAAATTATTTAATAACTTTTTAGAAATTAATTCACAACAACGAAATATCTCAAATAAAATGATAACAAACTAACAAAAGTTACAATTAATATATGTTTTGTTTCAAGGTATTTTTATATTATAACCAAATAATTCATATAATATGTATAAATATGTCAAGAAAATTGATTAAATTATTTAATAACTTTTTAGAAATTAATTCACAACAACGAAATATCTCAAATAAAATGATAACAAACTAACAAAAGTTACAATTAATATATGTTTTGTTTCAAGGTATTTTTATATTATAACCAAATAATTCATATAATATGTATAAATATGTCAAGAAAATTGATTAAATTATTTAATAACTTTTTAGAAATTAATTCACAACAACGAAATATCTCAAATAAAATGATAACAAACTAACAAAAGTTACAATTAATATATGTTTTGTTTCAAGGTATTTTTATRTTATAACCAAATAATTCATATAATACGTTTATAATATACGTCAAGAAAATTGAATAAACAATTTAATAATTTTTTAAAAATTAATTACATGAATATAAATTGTTCAAACTTATATATCGATTAAATTGACGAAAATTCATTGGAAATATATCATATCGTTGATAACAGAAATAATGATGATACTTTTCGCAATGTATGAAATGAAAGGAATATGATTTTTTATTCTCGTTGACTGTTGGGATGTTTCCTTCATAAGTATCACGTTTTAGCATGGGATAGATAGATAGATATATATGGATATGTATGGTCCCGTGAAATTGTACGCGCTTAGAGGGAACCGCGCGGGGATAACAATACTTGCTTGCTTGCTTGCTTGCTTGCTTGCTTGCTTTCTTGCATACCGAGGCAAATAATTCGCGTGGTACGTGCTGCATCACGCGGTCACGGGTGTGCCGTTTTTTCTGCGTAAGCCTTTGCGACTTCCTTTCACGACGATCACGTTCCGTTCACCGCTCCCGACCTATATCGTTATTACCTCCTTCTCTCGTTCGTGTTCCTTAACACATCATGGTGAGCGCCTTGCCGTCTGCCGTGAGATTCTACATCCGGCCGGGATTAGAGTTTCTTCATTTTTTCATTTAAAATCTAAATGAATAGAAAAGAATATATATCCTAAATTAGAGATACCTTAGAAATAGACAAATTTTTTATATTATGAGCCGTTTATTTTTAAAGTGGCATAAGTCACTTTTTGAAAAAAAAAAACCGAGTTAATGACATGGCTTTTCATTTTCAA